TAGAGCACAGACGAGGCTTTCTTATTCAGAAAGTGTTCCGTATCTACATAGCGCCACTTCTGCTCAATGAGTATATGGAGCCTTATTTTTCATTTGTAACCCTTTAAACCCCAACATTAGTATGCATATTCTCTATATACTGTTCTCTTTACATTTCCTAAGGTGCTGACAAGAGAATTTGTTTAACAATCAAGAGCTTCATCAGTTGACGATCATTTTTTTTATTCTCATGACCTTCATGTGTGATTCTGGCGTGATATTGTAAGGAGAAATTTCATGCTAATCACTTTTGGGGGCCAAAGGGTTAGGGGAATTTCTACAAGTGAATGAATCAATAAATAACTTTTGACGGTAAATGTCAGCGCAGGTTTAAATTCAGTTAAATGAACAAATAATTTCATGTGCTGATCACATACGGTGGTATCTGGAAGTCGCCTGTTTAAGGGAGAGGAACGTTTCACGAACACAACATCCGCTGTTTGTCAAGTAAAGGTAACAAAAGTATAGTAATTACCATACATCACATGGTTTCTTTTTTCACTTGATTATATTTTGTTACAAAATTGATTTATCCAACCGGTACTGCTGGTAATCCTAGATGGGCGAGCGTTCGTCCAGATGCAGGTCATCACATCTGAAATAGAATTGCAATTATTTGTTGTATCTTCAAAAATCATCGTAAATCCAAAGGTAAACTTTACGTACATTAAAGCAGGGTCAACAAACATTTAAGAAGAGAGAATTACCCAGGAAGTGTAGATAAAAAGATGACACCGACTGCATGGGTGACCAAGACAGAATTTCTCCTAACAATATCAATACAACGTCAAGCAGACAAGTGATGAGAATAGAGAAAAAAATCACTTTAGGGATTATTAGTTGATCCAATGCAAATTCTCCGAACTAACATCATAAGAACTGGTACAGTATGGTAGAAAGTAAGGAGAATTGCTGATGAGATCTTGTGATGAAAGGATTAAAGAGGTTTTTGCTTTTGTGCCTCTTGGTCCGCGATGGGCACATAACATCATTGATCGACGTATTCATCTGATGATTTGATATTAACTTTAAACCCTACAATGAGTCATATGATTTGATATGCGTTCATAACGACATTTGCCCCGACGAAGGCGAACGCTTGAAACGCCAGCTATAAAAACTCTCTTCTGTTGCCAATTGACATCATTAACTCAGTTAGTAAAACCAAATAATCTTGACAAACCCCCACCGACGCAGCACTACAGTTTCAGTCTTAAGAGTCAGAGCCGCGTTTATTTTCCTGAACTGAACTGAACCCTTAAATAAAGCAAGGATTTTGTCTTCAAGTGAATCGCTTGCCTTGGCGTTATTGTTTTTTAAGACTTGTAAAATAATATAGGAATTAAACAGCACACACACTTTTTGCTGGCGAGCCTTAGTGATTTGTTTGATCTGCAAATTCCACCCTGTACGCACTTCACACAGCACGTGTTGCTCGCAGTTCGAGATCGATCTTGGCAGTGTTGCTGGCGGTTCGAGTTATTGTTCTCTATTCTTGATTGCCTTGCATCGTATTTCACACTCACACAGAAGGATACGCTGTAATCTCCAGGATCACGAAGGCAACATTTACGCTGATCATCACTTCTTGATGTAGAAGCAAATCGGAAAAGTGTGACCTTTCATTTGAGACTTTAAACCTGAATTTTGTAGAATTTGCCATTAAGTTCAAAGTAATGAATAGAAGACAGTCCCCTGAAGGACATGAGCTTACTGGTCAGTAATGAATAGCAAACCGAGTTACAGTGTTCGCCATTAACCATGGTGCAAGAACTTCAAAATATTTTGCCTTATTGCTCTCTTCGATCGTAACGCGTAGTGGAATCAAGAGTTTGTTTACATTTGCATGTCCTCCAGTTCGCAAAGTCACGTGATGTGACGTCACGCTTGAAATGGGTCTATTGTTGAAATGTTATTTGTAGTGTTTTAAACAAATAGGCAGTTTTTGTTAGGGTACCGATATTTAGGGAAAGGGTGTAAGATATCTGGAAGGTATTTTTCTGAAATAAGTTGTAGTTGTCTGTAAGTGCCAACAAGAGCCGAATCGTGCGTTTGCTATCTGACGCGATTAGAGGCCCATTATGGAAAATCGCGCCAGGGCGCAACATTATTGTGTGTCATGCATTTGGTAGAAAAAAAAGGGGAAAAAAGAAACGTTCGAAGTAAAAAAGAAACTCGAAATGGGTCAGCTAGAGGTATCGAGCCAGCGACCTTCAGCTTCAATTTACAATGACCGGCGCAGTTCGTGGGACCTCATTCACTTAATTACTTACTAAGCTTTGCTGGCTTTAAACCACTGAGTGAGCGAACAAAATGCAAAGGCAACGTAATTAACCTGCGAAAGTTGTTCCTAAAATATTTTCAACTTATTTAAGTATTCCCTTGTAAACCATTAACACTTGTTGCAATAACATACCAAATAATTATTGCCCAATTTTCGCCCCTTGAAACCTTACATGAGAATGCATTCGTTTTCAGCCTCTAAGAAGCGTGTAATATTTTCATGTACAGTGTGAACTCAATTATTGTGAACTACGAAGGTCATCGAATGAAGACCAAAAATGCTACTCGCTGGTTTTCACGACAGTGGGACATAGAAAATACCTAAATCCCTAAGGAGGAAACGAAACTCAAACCTTTGAGACATTGTTATCTTAAGGATGCGGAAATTACGGGTATCTTGCCCGAGGATTAAAAAAAAACTTTCCTATTGTTAGAAAAGGCTGATACAGGATCTCTCGGAAAGTGAAAGAAAGCATAACATTCCCACGGCATAAAAGTTCCACGTTGCTCCATCAATTATTAAGAGAAACTGTGAAGATGATTGCTAATAGTAAAGAGCAAAAAGGTTCACGATCATCGAGGCGTATTGGACGCCGAACTTGCCTAGCTGGCGTAACCATATCATTATTTCTGTGTATCAGTGGAATTGCTCTGTGTGCAGTCTTAATCACGTTCGTCGCTCTACGCAGAGAGTGCCCAAGCTGTCCTTCCTTCGTTTCTGAAGATCTGAAGTCGGTATGGATTTTCATGGGAGTTGCTTACTTGTTGTTAATTTCTGGAGGATTTACTATTATGATATTAACGTTCCGAGATAGGCGAATAAACAGTCCCGACGGTTCATTTCCGGAAGAAGTTGAAATCCCGTCCACGATTCTGGCACAAGATCCAGAAAATTCCTCCGCACTTGTTTTGCCACCTCCACCAATCTGGCCAGTAGTTTTACCCGATTTCTTTACTGCTTTAATGACATTGAAGCTGTCCCATCGTCATACTGTGTAAACTGTCCTGAATCACAGCCGCCAAGCTACGAAGAAGCAGTTTCATTGGCAAATTTCCGTACCATATGATTGTCGCCTCTTGGATGTTCAAATTCATTGTCTCAGACGTAACATTTAGCTACCATCCATGGATTTTCAAACTCTGCAGACCTCTTCGAAACCGGATCAATCGTAATCCCAGACTACATAAATGCAAACTCTGTATACTGTTTTGTATGGTTAAACTGGACCTGATATATATTGAAGCAAACAATATAATTACAATTAAAACTTTACTAAAAACCAGTGAATTGTTATCACCACAAATGTTTTAAACTATCGTGTTTTACTAAAAATATAGTCGTCAAAAACCAATTTACAAGACATAGGATAAATTCTTAGTCGTACGATTATCATTTCAGCCGACTATCACTTTCATTGCTGTGGCTTAAAAATGAGCAAGTTTCAAAGCTGAAAATAAAGGTGAAAAAAATTCCTGTACATGGTTCATCAAACAGAATGTAAACTTCCATAACGACACAAATCTTAAACTGTATTTTCTTGGCAGTCAGGACAGCAACCTCGAGGAAGAGTTTAAAATGAATTTGCATTTTTCTTTTGAGTTTCGTAAATGTCTGGATGTGTTTACCGACTCTTACCGCGCCACGCCTCAACTTCAGGATAACGAATGTGAGTAGCGTTAAGTTCCAAATGGAAAGTTAAATAATTTGCCGTCGGGATTCTGTTCTCGAGCCACGCAAAGTTTAGTGATTCCACTTTTTTTTCTCGCAGAGGATTGCCTAGAAATTTTCGAAGTTTTAAAACGCTCGAGCTGAACTTATTGATCTGCTTAATTGATCTTTTATTTTGCGGCGTCCTCATTGTTATGGCCGTCGCTTATAGAAGTTCCTAGCTTGTAACAAACAGATTTCATGGTGCCGTGCTTCTCTTCAGTAATATATCACAGATGACTTAAATATGTGGTAAGAACAAAAACGCGGCGCAGGCAAGTGAGTCACCGATGTTTTTACCATATTTTAACATCTTCTGTAAGCTATCAATGAACAGCCCTACGGCAACATGGAACCTATTTGTTTTGTCTGATGAATAAGCAAAATGTAGTTGAAGGTGGCGTTATCTATGCGTCTGCTTCCAATAGATCTGAAATAGAGGCAAAGCGTGCTTAATTTAGCGTGTAACCATATCCATATAAATAGAAACATGGAACAAGATATTTAGGGCGAGTTGGGGCAGGAGTGATCGAAAGGTGTAGGAAATTACAGAATTTTGTTTAATTCGAACCCCCATTTTTTTGGAGAGAGTGGTAAAGCATTGAAGCGCGAAATCCGAAGATCTTCGGTTGGAGTCTTCTAGAAGACTCAAATTTTTCCTCTGTTGCATGTTTGCGACAAACAGATTACCAAGTTCTTTGACCTTTAGAAAGTTGGAACATTCTATAACAGCATCCAAAGTGATGCTAGTTTTAAAGTCCGCATAATCAAGAGTAAAGAGCATCTAAAAGTTGAATCAATTAAAGCTACTGAGAAGAAACAAGTTTAAGTGGCGATACTTGAAATTTAATCAGCTGCATAACGGACACTTAAATTTCCTCGCGCACTCTAGAATCACGTGCCGTTCATTTGATGAACGTGACTTCAGTAATTTTCCAAATATAATTTCTTACGTAGGTAAAACCAAACAGAGCAGCAAAAATATCGTTTAGATGGCCGGGAATGTTCTTTAACGTCTGGTATACAGAGCAATATAATAATTTTTGGTGTATAGTGCCCGAAAATTTGCTAAAACTTTTAATGAGCTCCATGCGCGCAACGTTCACAGTGGAGGTCTGCAAACAGCCCACGAGAGTCCGTCAAATAACAAGATCAGCCTAAACACAAAAAAGAGGCATATGTAATATCGAAAAGTAGTGAACAATACCGTTTCAAAATGGCAGATGATCCACAGGTAGCGAATGAAGCACAGGAATCCACGAGAGAATCGATCACAGCAAAGAAGGGATCCTTGACTCTCGCGTTCCTCGCTCTTCTTTGTTTTGGAGCTGGGGTGTTCATCTTTGGAGCAGTGATTTTCCTAATCATTCGAGAAAGGTGTAATGATTGCAAGCAGAGCTCATTGGGAAAGAGTTTGTCTATTGTTGCCTTTTCGTCGATTGTCTTCGGTTTTGGCTTCCTGGGAGGTTATTGCAAGAGATCCAAAAAGTGCTTCACCCGTCCAGTTGCTGAGTTAGTTGTTGTCTCTGCGATTCCAGCAGAAAATCTGGAAAAATCGCCTGCTCCTGTTCTGCAAGATAACCATGTTTCCCCACGTCATTTGAACATGAGTTCAGCCTCAGATTTGCCTGATTATTTTACTGCCATCAGAAATATTGATGGTTTATATTCAGCTGCAGACGCCGAAGTTCGGTCGGAAGATATCCCCAAAACCCCGCCACCATGTTATGAAGAAGCGCTTAAAATGCCTGCTTTAGCTAATACGACAATCTAAAAGGATACGAGCAATTTCAAAGAAGGAGTCATCGAAAGTGAAGAAATAAGCCTGGGATAACTCTTATCTCTTCATTTCACTTCTTCATATTATATTTTGACCGTCCTACTTTGTAGATTTTTATCAATTTTCGCGTGACTTATGTTTTTTTTTATTTGCGTACCAAACATGCTAGGTCAAAGGTTAGCAAAAAAAGGTTAAAAAAAATCAAGTATTGACAAAAAGGTGATTGAATAGGCTTGCGGTTAGCACGCGCACAAAGGTGCACTTACTAATGATTATTTTTTTAATTCCAAAGAACGGTTCGCGCGTTTAAAAACGTGGAACTTGTCTCTTTGTAAATGGTCCGAACTGTTCCCTGACGTACTGGAACCAAGCACCAGGATAAAGTCGATGAGGGACTATGGATACAGAGATACTTCGCAACGAAGCAATGATATCCATTTTCTATTAATTTATCATCCACGTTAGGATAACTGAGTAATATGCACTCTTCTGTTTTAAGATGAACGCATGTTAAGTTGTGTCTCAGCACAGGTAACCCACACTCGCACAATGAGCCTCTTTAAATATGTAAATATATCTTAGGATTTGTATCCGAATGAACGGCCCCATTATCAAGCCAAAAACTGAACTTATTTTGAATATAAACGAGGTAGCCTCCTTTTTGTGCATTTTGTAAGTTTTCTGGGCTGATTTACGACAGTTTACCTCGAGAGTTTTAAGTCCCCGTTTTTTTCTCTATACATAAAACTTTGATATATTCATTTTCATATTTTTCGGAGGCTCAAAGTGCAAGCATGGGCTTGCTGTGGTCGCACGAAGTTGAAACTATTAATAAAGTTTAAACTCGAAGTCTTTCTTTCTTGACGTGACGTCACACTTTGATTCACGGATGACTTCCTGTTTGATTTCAAAGCAAACAAAGTCTCAATTAAATGAAATAAATTTTATTTGGACCTTACGATAATAAAAAAAAACCCATTGAAATGATCCCGACAGGATCAATTAAACTTATTGCAGAATAAGAAGCCAAAACGAAAAAAAAAAAAACCAAAACAAAAAAAGGCCTAGACGATGTTTTGGCCTGTACCGGATCAATGTCAATATCTAAACAACTGTGTACCTACCTTCCCTTAATACAACAACGTCAACTGAAAATAAGTTATGGTTACTGTTGGTTTATGGGAGGGGTTGGCGTGCAGTTGCTCCCACAACTCCGATCCTAAGTATTAGTTTGGTGCTAATACGAGCTAAGTTTCGAAGCCACAGACGTAGAGTGGTGACAATTGCCCCCCCCCCCCCCAAAAAAAAAAATAAAAAATGGCTCGTCCACTTCCGGCTAGATATTTTTTTTTTAGCTGCAAGCACAAGAATATCTATACATTTTACATCGGAATACATTTAGAGAAATTTCAATGGAGTGTCGTAAAACCCAAACCAAATTTATCTTAACACTTAAACTCCCATGAGCGACCAAGACAGAATTTCTCCTTACAATATCATTACAACATCAAGCAGACAAGTGATGAGAATAAAGAAAAATATTGATTAGGGGATTATAAGTTGATCTGATCCTAAATTCTCCAAACTAACATCCCAAGAACTGTATGGCAGACAGTAAGGAGAATTACTAATGAGATCTGGGGAGTTAAAGGTTAACGACCAATCAGAAGAAAGTACCCGTAAGAGCCAATAAAAAATCAAATTAAAAACAAGAAATATTACGTAAATCACGGGCGATCAATTCGTCATTGGTTTTCGTTGGACATTTGATTGGTTGAGAAAGGGGTGCAAGTTTTCTGGATCAATCTCATGTCTGATTAAAGCAAAACCATGCAGAGCCCAAACGTATTACTATTGTGGGTAAACCTATCACTGTAGTGTAATATCTGTTATATAATTCATTATAATATATTCAAATGGCTTCCTAGCTTGAACGGAGGAAAATCGTTTAAAACGTTTCCCCTAGAAACGACCCAACTTAACGTGAGGTAATATTAAAACAAGTTTCAGATCTCTTAAACCTTCAAAACGTTTCAGTGGTTTAAACTATTACTAGTAGTAGCATGTGAGATTCGTAGTGACAAACTGCTTCATGAGCTTGATAAAAGTAGTCTTGCTCGGAACTTTTGACATGCTAATTAGATATATGCGTTGTGGTTAAATTTCTACGAAGAAAATTTATCAGAGTGTTGTTTCCTCTCCACCTCTAAATTCTACTAAAGACATCGGCGAGCTTTCCTCACCGGTTATAAAAGCCAGTTTGAGAGCATCATCGTAACATGGTGGTGGAGTTTCTGGAAACCTTTTTATCCAAACTGCATCTTCCTCGGATAAATATATTCCATCAATATTCTGGACAGCAGTAAAATAATCTGGCAAGTCCATCGAAGAGGCCCTAAGAGACAGAAGACGGCGAGAAATATGGCTGTGAGGAAGAATAGGAGCCGGAGAAGTCGCCAAAACTTCCACAGGAATCGTCGAGATCGTAGCCTGAGAATCATTTGATAGTCTCTTGGGTCGTACCAACACTATCAATGCTAATCCAACAACCAGGAGTACTGAGGCAATGATTGCAAATCTAACAGTTGAGTTTTTATAGGACAGATCGAAAATGGCGAATACGAACAGAATAAGGCTTCCAGCGAAACAAATAAGAGTGAGAACTGTAACCACGAAAGAAACTTTTTTTCTGTTCCTTGATAACCTCGCGTTTTCTCGTCCCACAGAATCATTTGTACTTGTCATTTTCGAAGAATTGGAATGACAAAGTAAAACTGATGATATCTTCAAAGCGTAAATTCAGCAATCGTTGAATAAAAGGGAGATGCGCTTTATGAAAAGCCGTTGCTTCTGCAAATATAGGTTGATCCCTCGTCAACAGAAGTGTAACTACAGGCAGTAGTAGCAATGTGCCTTAGGCGCTGGAAAATGCAAATCGCATGATACATCTTCCAGCATCCTGAATCATGTTATCAAAATAACTTATTGACGCAAATTATACCATCGTTTTCACTTCCAAGTGGCTTTCGGAAACTTCCACATAACAGTTGACTTATGTTGAAATGAGGATGTAACAGTAACTTTCCGATCAGTCCTTATACAAAGTAAAAGGAGATAGTCGTACAATGAATACATTTACAGTTTCAATAAAAAAATTTAAAAAATCGGTTCCCACAGGAAGTTAACTGCACGCAGATACGACTGTCAGTAGGAGGTCCAATATACCTTCCTCTAGGCCTCTGAAGTTATAAACGGCACAGACAGAAAATGTACGTACAGCAAGCGCCAGGGGAAAAGAAAAAAAAGTATTTTACGTTTCATCGTTTTTATTTGCCATTACATATAAAAATATTTCTACAACTTAGAACAATTTGTAAATAAATCAAACAAACAAAAATGGTTAATGGGGGGGAGGGGGGGAGGAGGGACTTGCTGAAAACCATTAAGGTTTTTAGGCTTAGGTCCCCTTAAAAGTACTACAAGAGAAGCAAATCTAAACAACATATATAGCAAATAACGTGCTGACAAGCCATATAACAGTTCAGTTGTTGAGGAAAGATATTTTAAGATTTTTCCAAAAGGATGCTAGAGCCGGAAGAGCCAGTGATCTCAGAGGAAAGAGAGTTGAAAAACTCTCAACTTCTGGCCGCCTTGCACGTCTCGAAAACGTCTGCACTTAGGGTTCTTTTTCGAATTAAATATTCGTTGCTGTGGAGATGACACTAAACAGCGTCCATTTTACTGTTTCTGTGGACGTAACCAGGAAGAGTCAATATATAAAACATGCTTTCGTGTGATAAATAGAAAATATTCTGAGGAGCTTCGATTCTTCGTTCTTGATATTCAACTTTTCCCGGAAGCCGTTAGAAGTTAAGGATAGCTTTTGTCTTCAGTTTTTCCAAAAAGGTAAAAGCACGACCAGAAAGTCACGTTTTGAACTGAAGAATAAAATGATTCAAAAGTGACGTTCAACCGCTATTTACAAAACAATGAAAATCACGGCATAAATCATCCATGCATGGTAATTATCATTACTTGAAGTTGTTTTTACTAATTTTAATTTAATTGCCATATTTTCAAACACTCTACTTCAACAAATTTGCAGAAGCAAATTAATTAATAATAATGGTTCTATTCACAATAAGAACGCATGAAGATTCGAACGGATCACGTTCTCAGTTTTCCACGCTGTTAGGTATATTACCGACCTCGTGAAGCCACGTCTGAGCTGCCAAAGATACGAGTGCGATTGAGATCCATGCTGGACGCCCTTGCTCTCCAGCACGAGCGAAGACGGCCTAATCTCGTGACATTCCTCTGAAGTTTTCCTTTTCTTCTAATTCCTCTTTGCTCTCACGAAACGCCAACGCGGCACTCGAAAGGTCAGCTTTGAAACCCCTTACGTGATCAGTTTACATTATCATTTCAGTCAGACAAAACCAAATTACTTTGTCTGTAATACCTCCCACCGATGCAGAAACCACAGTTTATGCAAAAACTTACCCTCTTTTTGTAAACATTGTATTTGTCTACGTTCACAAATATATTGTGTTGCCATAAATAATATTAAGATAAATTATTTCATTGTTTTAAATACTATCATTGTCCAAATTATTTTTATTGTCATAATCAATATCATTATGATCCTACACCATGTTATGTTGCTAAAAATGAACTCAAGAAGAATAGCAATAAATACGGTGATATTGGTGTTGCGTCGATTTTTCTTGCGATTTGGCGGTGTTTTAATACTTTTGTGCTTTATTATTTTTGCGATATCGTGATATTCAGAGCCCCTTAATGCCCCTTTCATATGTGCAACCTTGATGAGTGATCCTGATTTACCTAAAAACGTGATGTGCTCTTCATGAACACGTGGCCATTTGAACGTGAACTTGGCTCTTAAGAAAAACACGTGTTTTTGGACGATGACCGCCACCAGTCTCATTGTAATATTATTTTGCTCACGTAAGACCATTGAAGCAACATAGCTCTTAAAAGCCAAGTGGACAAAGCAATGGAATAATTTTTTGCTTTGATGGTGTCCTGACCAAAAGGTACAAAGCGGAGGTTTGCAAAAAGCCCATGACAATTCTGACGAGAACTTCCGTTAAGATAACAAGTACAGGCGACGCACAAGAGAGTCGCACTATACGAAGAAAGAGCGGCCGCAAAAACACCGTATTACTATGGCAGATGATGTTCAAGTAACAAACCAAACTCAGGAATCCATGAGAGTGTTAAGCACATCGCGTAAGTGTTCCCTAGTCCTATTGATCTTCGCTCTCCTCTGTTTTGGAGCTGGTGTGTTTAACTTTGGAATTGTGATTGTACTAATGGCTCAGGCAAGTTGTAGTGACTGCAAGCAGAGTTCAGTGAGTAAAAGTGACCCAAACACATTAATACAGATTTTGTCGACTGTTGGTCTTTCATTGTTTGTTCTCGGTTTTGGCTTGCTGGGAGGATATTTTAGAAGATCAAAAAAGTGCTGCGCCCGTCAAGTTGCAGAGTCAGTCGTTATTTCTACGATCCCAGCAGAAGATTTGGAAAAATCGCCTGCTCCTGATCTTCAACATAATGACATTTCTTCGAGTCATCTGTTTTTTAGTACAACCTCAGATTTGCCTGATTACTTTACTGCTGTTGCGAACGCTGACAATCTTTATTCAACTGTGGACGCCGGAGTCTGGACGGAAGATGTCCCCAATCTTCCACCACCGAGTTATGAAAGAGCTCTCGAAATGGCTGCTTTAGCTTTTACGACAAACGAGGCACATACAAACAATTTTAAGGAAGAAGATAGTGTCAGTAGGATTACAGTGGTGTAACAGCTGTAGGTTTTTTCGTTTTCCCGCGTGTTCATTCATGCTAAGACATTTTAACAATCCTTGTAAAATTGGCAAATTTAAGTAACATTTTGATCATTTATTTCGCTGTCCCTTTTCTCGTTCGTGCAATTTGCGTGTTGGATATTCCGCAAGTTAAGTGGTATACGAAAATAATTTAACCAAACTAAAAAATAAACGTGATCAGACTTCCGGTTGTACGCATGAAGGGTTTTTTTGTAAATAAAAATAAATTTATTAAGAAATTGTGTAAGGTTTGTTAGGGATTTGCATCAAGAGCATACGAAAGATAATGGACGAGGAACTATCAACACAGCTATAGGACGCATTTCTACTTATTTATTTATTTTTTTTTTTTTTTGCGAGTTGGAGTTTGCAGATGCGCGTTCGTTAATTATAGTCGCAAGAAGTCGAAACTGTTAGATTATTCTCAAGAAGTCCCTCTATAGGCGTGACGTCAAGGTTTAATCGACGACTTCTTGTAAGGATTTCTGGCCGGTGTCACCCTTAGGCGCTACTACTAACCAAAACGTGAAGACCACATGAATCTGTGCGACAAATATTTGAGTCAAGTGTTTAAATGCCTTCGAAAGGTATGTTGCAGTGTTTTTGTCAAAGTTCTACAAATGTAGCTGCAAAGATATACTTTTAATGATTTCAGAAGACTTTAAGAAACGCTCCAGCCGAATCAGTAGAGTTTCAGACGACTTTTGAATTATTGAAGCGATAACGAGCGATGACGTTAGTATTTTTGGAAAGTTCTGTTTTTCAATTAGTTTCGCGTCCACAAGAGATCATAATGCTAGCTTTCATCCACTCTGTAAAACATTTTGAAAAGCTCTGTTTTGGGCAGAAATTTATTTAAATTTGTATGAATGAAAAGCCAAAGCACATTTCTGATAGCAAAGTGACATTTTCAACTTGATCCGTTGGACTGCTTAGGCCTTACGTCAGAGTATCTGAATTTATTCCTGCCTGATATAATGACGTCAAAAAAAATCCTAAACTTGGTCTTCAGTATTTTAACTCCCTTGTACAAGTTGCGCCACAATATCGAGCTTTAGGCGAATTCTCTGATAAAAGCGTTGTTACCACGAGTTGCTCACGTATTAACCAACAAAGCGCGGTTCGCAAATGCAATACCTTTTAGTGTAATTTCTAATTGAAATGGGAAAGAGAGAAGCAAGACTTCGTTGATACGAGAGCATGGCCTTATTGAATTATGCACAACCGCTAGGCGGCTAGGTGGCTAAACAAGATTCAATATAGCGCTGTCCGTAGTCGAATTTTTCACGCATGTGAAGAGGATTTTTGAAAGGCTTCATCAATTACTCTTTGGAATCTCAAAATGCAGTCACATCATGAATACTTCTTAATGGAAGACATTTTAAAATTTTTACTCCTATGCGTGACCAGGACAGAATTTCTCCTTACAATATCGATACAATACCAGGCAGACAAGTGATAAGAATAAAGAAAAATATCAATTAGGAGATCATTTGTTGATCCAATACCGAATTCTCCGAACTAACATCATAATTATTTCATGGCAGACAGTAAAGAAAATTGCTAATGAGATCTGGGAGTTAAAAGGGTTATGAGTGTAATTCAAGACGTGATCAGAGGGAACTAAATGATAACACGAAACAAGGCCTGAGGAAATAAAGGTTTCATGTGCAAGTATTTAAGTCTTCAATATTAGTCTTGTGACGTACAGAGCTTCAATCAAATAGCATTACATCATTTGAAAATGATAGAGGAGCTCAAAAAGAAACTTTTTCCTACGGGATATCCAAAAAGCGAACGCGTAATATCGTGTTCTGTTGCTTCGAACCGCTAATACAGATCCTAAACATCGCAAATTTTTCAATGCAAATGTGGTCACGCTGAATTCAATCCTAAGAAGCATAAATACCCCCAGGTGCTTTAAACAAGTTACATAAGGATAAAATGACTTTTAATGACCGCGGGGGTTAATTCTTCTAAGTGTTGTTGTGTTATCTATCATAACAATGTAAAACGTGATTCCTATAGCAGTTGTTTTCATCCTATATTTTTTATCAGCAAAGCCTTCGTACTTTCATCTTGTTTGGAAAATTGCTGAAAATTACTGAGCAATAAAATTAGTTGTACCGCAAACCATTTCACGAAGAACTTTTGCTCTATCCAAACGTGTCTATGCATGTCCTTAAATTATAACTCGCGCGGTAGCATGTGGTTCGTAGTTACAGAATAGTTCATAAGTTTGATCATTGATCTTCAGAGTTTTGCGTTTTATCCTTCTCCCGATAGCGAAAAAGAATGTGACTTGTTTTCTTGACTAGTTATGGAGGCCATTTTAAGTGCCTCTTCGTAGCTTGGTGGTGGAGCGTCATCCGTACCAAATGCAGCATCCACAGATGAATAAACTTCATTTAAATCCTGGACAGCAGTAAAATAATCCGGCAAATCTATCGAAGAGGCCCCAACGAATGGCTGACGGCGAGGAGCAGAAATCGCAAATATTTCAACTTGGACGGCGGAAAATTTTGATCCTTTTTTGAGTTGCACACGTACTAACAATACCAAAGTCACTCCAAATATCATCATCACCGTGGCACTGGTTCCTTTGCTAATGGCTGAGTTTAAGTTTTTAGTAAACAACTCAAAAATGGTGAATATGAAGAGAAGGAGGCTTGTTACGATTAAAATATAACCAAGGGCTGCAATCAGTAAACAAACGCCCGCTTTGCTCCTTGACAACCTTGAGTTTTCTTGCTCCTCCGAATGATTCGTCATGTTCGAAGCCGTAGAATGCCTGAATAAAACAAGTGATATCTTCAGGGCGTAAAGAAGAGTTATTTGAAGAGCTTGCGGAAGGAAAGGAAACAACTATTATAATGTCTCCCCTTCTAGAGCTATTAATAAGTATTGCCTGTTAATGTTTACCCGCGTTAATAGGCTAAAATAGACGTTGGTTTACGAAAGCGAAACTGCGCGGCATTTTGTGGCAACACACCTCAGGCGCGTTCCGTAATTGAATACTTGTTGACGTAAGTTGCATCGTCGTTAACACTGATCAGCGGCCTTTACGTCCTTCTGGAAAAACAGTTATTTTCAGGGAAATTTAGCTGTAATAACAGCACCATGGCTCCTGATACTAGCTAGAAACTGAAAGAGTGACGTTTTTAAGAAGGAAGTTTAAGTAGCAATACCTTTTTATTTCGCTCACAAAGACGAAAAAACGGCTGAGAGAGCATTGTTGTGATTTGAAGTATGTTTTAAAAGTGGTTAGCTGCTACTCAAATCACGTCAAAAATCAAAACAAAATCCTCCGTGCATGAGTAAGTCTAAATAATGGCCATTATTTGGAGTGGTTATTGACTGATGTGAATCTAATTTCCTTATTTTTCAATGCTACGCCTCGACGAATACGAATAACCTCTTAAGCGCGATAGTCTGTAACTTTCGAACTTTCGTCGGCCACTTCATTCCATCGATTTGGCTGAGATTTGGCATAAAGTCTTCCTTTAGGGTCCTAATCACGAAGTGAATATTAAAAAGCTCCAGTTATTTTTTCTTGGCAAAAAAACGGGAAAGTGCACTTGGTCTGCCCATACTTGCCCGCCAATATGACGGATCGAAAGTGATCTTTTGAATTCAACTCGAGTCCTATCGTAAATATTTCTCAAGCTCTCGTGCTATCCGTAAAACGATCTTCCCTTCCTCTTAACATTAATTTACAAAAATATAGAAAATATCTGGTTTTAACAATATATGATCCCAACGTTCAAATGTCGCTTCAGGCCGCCTTGAACAGAGAAAAATTTACCCCAACTTAGTAACCGAATATATCCGGTGTTACCTCGATCCAGGAGTTGCCATTTACTGTGAATAACGTTTATTCGTAGATGAAGAGATTTTCTAAATTAAAAAATGGGGGAATTGAAACGGTCAAGGAAAAAAAATTATCAACCCGTACCTGGTCCTAGAAGCTCTTATATCAATTCACGATCAGAAGAAAACGGTTAAAGTATATTTATCATCCAGAAAGTTTCTTAATGGTATGGAAATATCTTTCCATTTAACATAAACGTGATGATATTCAAGCAAAATTGTTGCAACGGGATAATTTTAGGTAACTAATTGAATTTAAACAATCCACGCGCAACAGATCACCTTCTTTTAAATTTATTTACAATTAGAATATGATCTTAATTCTACCTAAGGTCACTTTTTGGGACGTAAAGCTAAATTCATTATTCAAACCCTTGTGACAACTAGTTACAACTGTTACACAGACACAACAAACCACCTACATGGCCTTAGATGAGCCCTTTGTTCCCAGAGTTTCCAAATAGGAAACTTGGAAGATCTGTGGATGGACTTATTCCTTTGTACCAAGAATCAAAATTCTACCTAGAACCTTCAATAAAAGATAGTTGAAACTTAGGTTTACCTTTGAAAAGTTCTTTCATCGAGAAAACAATTTGATTCTTACAAAAGTAAGGTTGTATCACGTCGGCAGGCAACTGAAACGCTTAGTTTCTAAACAATGAAACTTATCCGATTTTTATTTTGAACTAAAGAACATGGATGCTGGAAACCAAGTTAACAGATGGGTCACAGTCACGCATTGAGCTCTCTATTGGTCCAGATAAAACCCAACCCATCCTTGTATGTAAAGCTGTTGGACCACTTTCTCCTCTTCTTACTTCCCCTGTTACGTTTGCCAGTATTGATCTGATCCAATTAGTATGTCCCCTTCTGCTGCCTCTGCTCCTTTTGAGTAATCGGCAAGGTGAATTCCATTGAGGTGCTTGTACATGTTCCTCGCCAGGGCTACTGACTGACCAGTAAATGGCTCACAGATAAGTGGTACAGAATAGGCTGACAACTTCATATCTGTTCCATCAGGTAGTTCAACACCAAAGTAAACAGCATCACAAGTCTGCACCTTCTCGTCTTGTGACCCAAAGGTTTTGATTAGAATTGTCTCTTGACATTCAGCTGGTAAACTTAGCTCATCATATCATCTTTGACATGTGAGTGCTGGCTTCTATTTTTGGAGAAATGGCGGCCAGCGTTTTATCTAATCCGGCAAGAACCAATTCTACGTGACTGCAGAATTGATCAGTTTCTTCAATTTCGCTGTCAATTTCTTCCTCCGTTGATAAATCGAGAATCTTTTTATCCAGTCCCTGGATAACGCCCAACTTTTCCTTTAGAGAGGACTTGTAGAAGATTAGTGTTGCCCGTTGTTTTGAAACACTCGACGCGTCATCACCCAAAGAATTAGGAATTTCATTCGTACTCTCCAATTTCCTTTCGGCGGAATTTCGATGTCCAGCTCTGAAGCCTTTTTTCTTTGTCAGTTCCCAAGAAATTGTTGAGGTTTCGTCGCTTGTAGACTTGACGTTGCTTAAAGACTTGACAGACACTTGTGATGTACTCTTCCTTCCGTTCTTTTTCCCGCCCGCCGAGAGTAATCGAGAGCAGAATATCTCCCCTTTGAAGGTTTTCAGGATTTCAAGATTTCAGGATTTCATCTAGTTCGCATCCGGCTCGAAGGACCAATGTTAGAAAGTTATTTTAGGTCCACTCAAGGTTCCAATATGAACATTTTAATCTTACAACTCGGGACTGTACTTACAAACACAACAAAAGCCAAGATTCCTTTCAAAGAAGACGGAAGCGCGAGGTCGCACAGCCCATAAGGCTAGGCGCGCGTACATCAGTGCATCACGCCTAGTCACGCTTAGTCACGCTCACAAATTCTAACAGAAATCATTCTGGCCCGTGCCATCCTTAGGCGCTACTACTAAACAAAACGTAAAGAGCACATGAATCTGTGCGGAAAATATTTAAGTCAAGTGCTTGAGTGCCTTCGAAAAGTATGTTGCAGTGTTTCTGTCAAAGTTCTACAAATGTAGCTGCAAAAGGTATACTTTTAATGATTTTAGAAGACTTTAAGAAATGCTCCGGCCGAATCATTAGAGTTTCAGAACACTTCCGAAGTATTGAAGCTATAACGTGCGGTGACGTTAGCATTTTTAGAAAGTTCTGTTCTCAATTAGTTTCTCATCCACAAGAGATCATAAAGCCACCTTTTATCCACTCTGTAAAACATTTTGGAAAGCTCTGTTTTGGGCAGAAATTTATTTAAATTTGTATGAATGAATGAATGAAAAGTCAAAGCACATATCTGATAGTAAAGTGACATTTTTAACTTGATCCGTTGGACTGTTTAGGCCTTACGTCGAAGTATCTGAATTTATTCCTGCCTGATATAATGACGTCAAAAAAATCCTTATACTGGTCTTCAGTATTTTATTTAGGCGAATTCTCTGATAAAAGCTTTGTTACCACGAGTTGCACACGCGTACTGACCAATAAAACGCGGTTCGCAAACACAATGCCTTTTAGTGTAATTTTATCCTAATTGAAATGGGAAAGAGAGAAGCAAGACTTCGTTGGGACGAGAGCATGGCCTTATTGAATCTTGTATAACCGCTAGGCGGCTAGGCGGCTAAGCAAGATTCAATATAGCGCTGTCCGTAGTCGAATTTTTCACGCATGTGAAGAGGATTTTTGAAAGGCTTCATCAATTACTCTTTGGAATCTTAAATGCAGTCACATCAGGTATACTCTTTAATGGTAGAGATTTTGTTTCTGAAACATATATAATTATCCTTTAAACTTATACTCCCATGCGTGACCAAGACAGAAGTTCTTGTTACAATACCAACACAATACCAGACAGACAAGTGATAAGAATAAAGAAAAATATCAATAAGGAGATCATTTGTTGATCCAATACCGAATTCTTCGGACTAACATCATAATTATCTCATGCATGGCAGACAGTAAAGAGAATTACTAACGAGATCTGAGACTGGCTGACTACAAATAAATTGACTTTGAATACAAAAAAATCAAATCTCGTAATTCTTCGCCCAGACAAAAGAATATCCGTTATCTTCCACAAATAAGTATATCTGCTAGTAAAAAAAATAGAAGAGTCAGCTTGGAGTTGCATCAAATATTTAGGTGTTTTGATCGATGAAAATCTTTCTTGGAAAAACCATCTGGACTGTGTTATCACTAGAATAAATAAGACTATAGGAATGATTGCTAAGCTGAGACACTTTGTTCCATCATCTGCACTCACAAATATTTATAAATCCTTAATTTTGCCTTATTTAACTTATGGACTCGTTGCTTGGGGTAATACGTCTAAAAACTATCTAAACAAAATTGTTGTTCTCCAAAAGCGAGTATTACGTCTAATCTACTTTGTTGATAGAAAAGAACATGCAATCCCCTTGTTTGAAAATGCGAAAATTCTGCCTTTTACCTTCTTATATTATGAAGCTGTATGTAAATGAATGCTCGATGTTCATAACGACAGTGCACCTTCTGATATCATGAAACCTTTTGCGAGAACTTCAAACATCCATACATGCACTACTCGCTCCTCAACGTCACAACTCTATAGCGTTTAGTACTCTAGGCTTAAAATGCAAAAAAAAAGCCTTTTCGTGCGTTGGTGTCAAAGTCTGGAATGAGAAACTCAATGAATACTAAAATTTGTCAAAGAAATCCTTCAAAAAAGAAACAAAAAGAGCTCTTCTCAATATTCTAGAAACCGAAGATTCTTATATGGAGCCTGATGAGATAATGCTAAAATTCAAACACAGCAAAATTGAATCAAATTCAACCATTTCTTCAATATTTTTCGTACACTTAGAAACGCTGGGACTTTTTCTCCTTTACAATCAACATCTGCCATTTTCCTTTTTTTTTTTTTTGCGTATCTTTTTGCCCTTTTATGTTATATTTCTTCATTTCCGTTTCATTTTCCAGTGTAATTAAATTAAGTCAGTAAAGAAAAAAAATTTTATCAAGTAAATAAACAAATTTGACCCGCCTCGATTAGCATTTGCTATCTGCGGGTTAAAGAAATATCTGGTAAATATGAAAGAAAATGAAAAAAAAAGTGTGAAGTGAAAAGTGTGAAGTGTGAAGTGTGAAAGGGTTAAGAGCATAATTCAAGACGTGATCAGAGGGAACTAAATGATCATAGCAAACAAGGCCTGAGGAAATAAAGGTTTCACGTGCAAAAAATTATCTAAGTCTTCAATATTAGTCAATATATTGTGACGTATAGAGCTTCAATCAAATAGAATTACATCATTTGAAAATGCTGGAGGAAGCTCTAAAAGAAACTTTTTCCTACGGGATACCCAAAAAGCAAACGCGCAACATCGTGTTATGTTGCTTCGAACAGCTAATACAGATCCTAAACATCGAAAATATTTCAATGCAAATGTTGTCACGCTGAACTCAATCCTAATAAGCTCAGATACCCCCAGGTGCTTTAAACACATTAAATAAGGATAAAATGACTTTTAATGACCTCGGGGGTTAAACTTCTATTCAGTGTTCTTGTGATCATAACAATGCAAAACGTTATGCCTATAGCAGTTGTTTTCAATCTATATTTTTTATCAGCAAAGCTTTCGTTTTAACTCTTATCTTGTTTGGAAAATTGCTGAAAATTACTGAGCAATAAAAATTAGATATACCGCAAACCATTTCACGAAGAACTTTCGCGCTGTCCAAACGTGTCTATGCATGTTTTTAAATTATAACTCGCGCGGTAGCATGTGGTGTTTCGTAGTTACAGAATAGTTTATAAGTTTGATAACAGCTTTTTTCCTGTCTCACATCGTCTAGCGTGGTAGTTCCGGGTGTAACTCTTCCAAATTGTTTACTTGAAAAATCTTCAGAGTTTTGTGTTTTCTCCGTCTCCAGATTGCGACAAGGAATGTGGCTTGTTTTCTTGACTAGTTATGGAGGCCATTTTAAGTGCTTCTTCGTAACTTGGTGGTGGAGCGAACGGCTCCGAAAAATCATCTGTACAAACTCCAGCGTTCACAGATGAATAAACTTCATTTGAATCCTGGACAGCAGTAAAATAATCCGGCAAATCTATCGAAGAGGCCCCAACGAATGGCTGACGGCGAGGAGTATGGTAATACGAAAGTGTAGGGACCGGAGATTTTGTCAAATCTTCCGCAGGAATCGTAGATATTACAACTTGGACGGCAGAAGTTTTTGATCCTCTTTTGAGGTGTATATGTACTAACAATACCAAAATCATTCCAAAAATCAACATCACTGTGGCAGTGGTTGCACTTCTAATGGCTAAGTTTGAGTTTTCAGTAAACAACACAAAAATAGCGAATGTGAAGAGAACGAGGCTTGTTACGATTAAAATATAACCAAGGGCTGCAACCAGGAAACAAACAATTTCTCTGCTCCTTGACAACCTTGAGTTTTCTTGCTCCTCAGAATGATTCGTCATTTTCGAAGCCGTAGAATGCCTGAGTAAAATAAGCGATATCTTCAGGGCGTCAAGAAGAGTTCTTTGAAGAGCTTGCCTCTGTGGAAGGAAGTGAAACAACTGTTATCTTGTTTCGCCTTCTAGAGCTATTAATAAGTATTGTCTGTTAAATTTTTACGCACGTTAATAGGCCAAAACATGCGTCGGTTAACGGAAGTGAAACTACTGGGCATTTTGTAGCAATACACCTCAGGTGCGCGTGATTCCAAATTGCACGATTCATATCCAAGTCACGTTCCGTAATTGAATACTTATTGACCTAAGTTGCATCGTCGTTTATACTGATCGGCGGCCTTTACGTTCTTCTGGAAAAACAATTATTTTCAGGGAAATTTGGCTGTAATAAACGCACTCGTTGGTGATCGACTTAAGGAAACCTTTTCAATTGGAACTCTGTTTTTGCAAGAAGTTTCCAGATAATAGCTAGAAACCGAAAGAGTGACGTTTTTAAGAAGGAAGTTTAAGTATCAATACCTTTTTATTTCGCTCACAAAGACGAAAAAACGGCTAAGAAGGCATTGTTGTGATTTGAAAGATGTTTTTAAAGTGGCTTTCAGCTGTTACTCAAATCACGTCAAAAATCATAACAAAATCCTCCGTGCGTGAGGAAGTCTGAATAAGGCCGATTATTTGGAGTTGTTATTGACTGATGTGAATCTAATCTCCTTATTTTTTATGCTACGCCTCGGTGAATAACCACGTGCTTTTCACGATAGGACTAATTCACGATAAAAAAAAGATCAGAAAACAGATGGAGCGTAGAAGTGGAAGGGGGGGGGGGCATTTTCTTTACAGAATTTCGAGTAGGGCTGTGTCGCCAAAAGCCTTAAACCCTAATTCTCTCTAAAACAAACGGACATTTTGAAATCGATTTACACATCGATGTCTGAAGCGAATCACACAAATGTCTGGGACTGTCGAAAAAATTTGAAAAAATATCGCTCCGTTTCTACGGGTGAAGTTCCGTGCGCTTTCCGAAGATTTTTCAACCCCAAGCCCCCGCGTAACTCGCTCCAGTTCTCACCGTTTTCAAAATGGCCGTCACAAGAACAAACTCACGACGTGCGAAGTAAGAATCTTTTTTTCGAGTAAAAAAAATAAATAAATAAATAATCAGGTTTGAGAGCTTACCTTTTCCAGATTAAAGTATAATGTCTTCGTTTCGGTAGCTCGATATTAACGTGGCTGATCTCTACCAGTGTTGTCACTCCAATACAAAGCAGAAAACGGCGGCACCCCAGTAAATGGATGCAACGAAGGAGTCTGGTGAACTGCATTCAGGGCAAGGTAACACAAATATAACAAACACAGCGGTGGTAGTCGCTGTGAAACAGAAAATTACCAAACCAACCGTAGCTGTTAACAGGAACTTTCCGTGACACGTTGAAAACACTGACGCATCTTGACTTCTTCCTGTCATAATCGTTCGGTAGGTTGAAATAAGCCGGTACTGACCTCGAATGAAAATATTCTGCTTTCAGAAGGTCAGTGAATGATAAACTGATTTGCTTGTAATGGGATACAGCTCATCTACTATCGAGGACTTCTTTTACTATTGTACTTCCGACCCCATGAAGAGGTTCACGTGTAGGTCGAATGGAAACACATCAATCTTTTTTTTGGCGCCCTAAAACCCATGGCCAAGGGAACTGATCATTATTTGTCGCCAAGTGGGGTGGGGGTGGGGGGTGTCGGATTTTGGTTGTGTTGCTATATAGCTAATATATAATTATAAATTTTGAAATAACAAAAGAAGACAAGAGTATAATTTAACGTGAATGGAGTCGACCGTCACACTGTAATATTTGTACTTTTTGTCTGCATGACAATATCAAAAATATAATGAGAGGGACATTTGTTTTTTTGTTGAGAAGGTGTAATTAAATTTGACGAGCCTCTGACAGTTGGAATTACAATCATAGAATGAGAATGGAATTTACACAAACAGTGGGCCTGGAAATGGCATTTGGGAAACATTTTGGCCAGAGACTGGGACTTACATCCCTACCCCTCCCCCATAAAGGCTGCAAAGCGGTGAGGTAAAATCCACCGCTGACCACTGATACTGAGGTAAATAGCTGTTTTCGTACATGCTTAAACAGCGAGAAAATATAGCACAAAAAGATGATTTTAACTCATTTATTCCAGCAAAGATTACAACACTTTCTGGCGCAAAACCCGAGCGAGCTTATCAGAGGTGAATACCAAAGGATGTTCGGAGTTTGAATAGCTAATCAGAGTGCACTATCAACGTCAGAGGGATTGACGAAGGACTAACGCTCGAAACGTCAGCCTTTTAACTCTTTACGATGGCCAATTTACGTTATCAACTCAGTTGATATAACTAAATTGCCCTATTATATTCTCCCACCGACGCAGCGCCACAGTTTCTTTAGAAACTTATCCCTTTATTCATTTATCTTATAGTCGTGTTCCTCGATCATCGCAAACCTTCGGGTTCTCAGAGGTATATTCCTGACTAATTTGCGGTTATTCAACCTATTGATAAAAACTTTTCATTTTATTTGTGGACGTTATGAGCTGGACAGGATATTTCACCGAACAACACTACCTTCTTAAGTTAAGGCGGTTGAAATAACGAGCGGTTATCGCATTAAGCTTTTGGTAAAAACTGAACGAATATAGACCAGGACACAGGGGACGCGTTCAAACCTCAGGCGGACGCGTTCAAACCTCAATAGGACGCGTTTGTTACAGCTCCGAAGTAGAGTGTCTACAATAATACTTAGAAATGGCTGTGCCATTTTTCTCTTTCTCAAAAACACTTTATGAATATCGACACAAGTATCTTTGAGAAGAGGTGGTATTTGAAAGCAGATTCTCGTTAATGAATTGAACAATTTCCATTTGTCTAAGAAAAGATGCTCGATCTTTCAGAAGACACAAAAACTTAGCGAGAGCTTGTGCTGAGAGCTAGGAATGTCTAATATTGAATTGAACAACAGATCACCTTCTTTTAAATTTATTTACAATTAGAATACGATCTTAATTCCACCTATGGTGACTTTTCGGGACGTACAGCTAAATTGACTGTTCAAACCCTCGTGACAAAATAAAAATAAAACTTATTTATTTTTATTTTTAACTTAAGACAATCGACCAATCGCCGAAGTTAAGGATGATGGGAGAAAAACATTGAAAAGTTCAAACTGCAGCGCTTTGTCGGAGCAAAATACACGCACGATCAACCGTTCTTTCGAAATTGACTACTTTGCTTGATCAAAAAAAGTTTTATTTACGATTGTCACTCATGTTTAATGCACACACGAGTTAATGATTTACGCCTTGTAGCCTTGTTTGTGTCTGGAGAAGACAAAAGATTGCACATGTATTTGCGTAACCTTGCAGGTCATCACTTTCATTCGCTGCAAAGGAAACAGTTCAGGCTTTTTTCAATCTCGTTCCGTTCGAGAAACTTTATACAAAAGCCCTTTATTTTTTGTGTCTTCAGCTTCAGTAATGGGATCCGGTGCGGTTTGTGATTGTTTCCTTGTTTCCGCGTAAATAGTTCGGATCTACGTGCACCTGCGGAAATAAGTCGACTGACGATCACGTTTCGTTGTATCAACCGAGTTAATGATTGTATTCAGTGGACATCGTAAAGAAATTCTAATGCTGACGTTAACCGAGTTAATGATTGTATTCAGTGGACATCGTAAAGAAATTCTAAAGCTGACTTTTCGAACGTTAGCCCTTCGTCGGGATTTTTTCACATTACCAGTTCAGTTGTTAAATTCCAAATTATCTTGTAGTACACGCGCTGACGCAGCGCCACACTTTCTTGGAAATTGACGTCACGACTTCGACATTGACTTCCTCTCATTCAAGACTCGTACGACATCAGTCTTTTCAGGAGTTCCCTCGACGAACGATTTCTCCTTTCGACTACGACAATTTCTAGAAATTATTTCTCATAAGGAAAATAATGAGAACGCACTACGAAGAAGAAAATTCCACCATATCATCAAAGTGCACCGGACACCTTGTTAGTGTATTCGGCATTGGGGTGTCATCGCTTTTTTGCCTTTCTGGCATTTCTCTGAGTGCAGTTTTGGTCACATTTGTGATTTTGACTGAAGCATGCTCTAGCTGTCGATCCTTTCTCACCGATGGCCCGGATTCAGTCTGGATTTTTGCAATTACTGCAACGGCACTGTTAATAGTTGGCGGCTGTATAATTGTGGCATTAGTGTTCCGCGGGCGGAGACTGAAGACTCGACACATTCCATTTTCCAGAGAAGCTGTAATCTCAGAGAATCTTGCGGATGATCTGGAAAATTCCTCCATTCCTATCCTAGCTTATAATCATGTGCCTCACCAGATTTGGAGCGGTTTGCCAGACTACTTCACTGCTGTTCAAAATATTACCGCAGTTTGTTCATCTTCAGACACAGCCGCAATCCAGACGGACAGTTTCCCCGAAACTCCTCCACCTTCTTACGAGCAAGCGCTTGAAATGATGAACAGGCATTAAGGTGACTGCGTAAAAGGCAGATCGCATCCATAGAGCGTACCGCGAAAGACTACCAGACTCTGAAACTGCCGTAGTTATCCATTTCGCGCTTCAAGACTTGCAAAATGAAAGACTCCTAGCGCACATAGGTACACTACTCAAATTAAACCCTAGAAATATTTGTATTGGTAATAACATGATTTTGAGAGAGCAATTTGGTGTTAATAAGCACAAGTCAATTTTTCAAAGACAACGCAATTGGACGAGCCCATTGGGCAAGTACACTTTGTAGTCTCTACAAGTGCTTAATTTCGGCTAATCAAATGCGCGTAATTTTTTCATGCACATTATTAAGTTAATTAACTAAATAAGCTCTTGGACTGCGTCTACTCGAAGAAATAGGCCTTTCCAGCGGTTCTACCATCGGTGATGGTTACATTTTTAAATTTATCTCTCTCACTGGATTCAAGGAACTGGAACATATTATAGAAAATTTCGCTGGCTGACAAGTGAATTCTACGTTAAATTTCACGCGAAAAACCGATATCGCACAAATCGCGAAGCGATGAGTGCGATATCGGTTTTTCAAGTAAAATTTAACGCGGAATTCACTCGTCAGCCAGTGAATTTTTCTTGAATCGCGTAAATGAATAAAAATAAGAAAAAAAGAAAACAGTAATAAAATTGTTTGTTTTTATCCTGAGTGCTTCTTAGAAAGCCGTTCTAAAGTCAACTGTCAGAACTGTCATTGCGTTAGCGAATAGGCCAAGGTCAGTCGTGCACGACGTCGACAACTTTATTTGGACCTTATGCTTGTTTTTACATTTGTTTTCAAACTTTTCAAACGAGCTTCACACTATCTTAAAGGACAATAGTGGTATTTCACTGAATTCACAAGCCGTTTCTCTTTAACATCTTTTTTCAAATTTCCAAATCATTTGCTCGAGAAGGAAAATAATTTACACCTTTTACCTCTTTGGTGGCAAAACGGAAAGACATGAAGTGTCCAAGTGAAAGCAATGAAAGTTTAACATCGTGATTAAAGGTATTTATTTCTTCTTCTGTATATATGACAATCGACCCTGGCACTTCTTTCGTTGTCGCTTCTTCGTCTTGTTTGGTTGAACTTTCGCTTGCCATTTCCTGGGCCGTGTTCACAGGATTTTCTCGCTTTGATACGGAACTTGAGCACAAACGTTGTTGAGTCGCGGAAGGCAGCCGGAAGCTGGAAAGTTTGGTTTGAAATGCTAAGAAAAAGACCTTCCAGCTTATCCACTGGCGTTAAAGCGAGCCAGAATTAATTCATTTAATCTTCCTGTGGCTATCCGTGTCTCAAAAAGGTCACTGCTTCAAGTTAATGGTAGGTTCGAGTGGATGACTTCGAAATATAGTTAGCTGTTTCCGAAAGGATTCATTTTGCTGGTACTTGCGCGCGCATCGCTGACATAGCTGCACGAACGAATTGTATCGAACACTGAAATGATTTTAAACCATTGTTTCGCGTCCCTATGCGACGTGTACAACTGCATTTAGGCCATAGTAACGTTAAATGTAAATCCGCGAATCTGCGAGGTTTTCTGTTGCTATCGTTTAGTGTAACTAGAAGAACTTACATTCAACGGAAAGGTTTATTATCCTTTGGTTATTAACAACTTGTAGCATTACATCGTGTAGCAAAAAGTGAGTTTGTCTTTTTTAACCTTGGGTTCAAACTACTTTGAAAATTTCCAAAGTCAGACGTCTTGTTACATTTTTTAGTATCTCAGGATGAAATCTCTACTGCAGCCAAACTCGTGATCACACTTTGCACTGTATTTGGCTTTTCACTTTGTTCCGCAGAGGGTATGTCTTTTTCGTGAAAACAAGCTCTTGTTTGGTAGTTCGAAAAATGAGCCCTCAGCCATAATTCTACTTTTTCCGAGGATCGGAGAGTGGTGGACAAATCTCGTTCGATGTAAGGTGCAAGCCACCCTTGATGATATCTTTTTCCGGCTTGATCGATGAATGGCTTTGAGGCCTCATTGATATCTGCGTTTGGCCATAGTTCGACTTTTTCCGAAGATCTTAGAAGCATGGGGATGTCGTGTCCAATTTTATATTCTTGCAGTAGCTGACAATTTTCAGGTTCTTCGGTCGAGAGTTTTCCGTTTCCGTTGATTCCCGTAGCATCTTCGTAAATAGCCGAGCCCTGAGGGTCACTCATATTCTGCGGCGATTTTCAGTTGGCAAGTAATTTTTCATTTCATCAACGAGACTATACTTCGAGCACTTTTAAATGGAAATACAGCATAGAGTTACCGAGCCAGTTTTTGTGGTGCTTCGTCACAATAATCAAACAAAGATCGTTACATGCGTGAGCATTGCAAGTGTCGTAATAATCATTCGTGACTACATGACAGCGAAGTAAGAACATAACGACTAAACACGACGTAATTCCTTGGATCTTGCTGTGTGGTCTTAAGATTGAGGGGACGTATTTCGTAAGATAGTACGGCATTTGAACGGAAGTCGTATTCAGAGGCAATTAACTCAGTCCAAAATTGTCACTCGGCACTGATGGAATACTTTGGCCCGGCGTGTCGGTGGCTAGTGTTGGATATTTATTAAACCGTGAGGCTCCACATCGGTGAAAAGTTGTTAAATATTGCAAAATTTATCTGATAGCTTCGGTCCTAACGTGTTTACTGCTCTTCTGATAACATACCCTAATCTTTAATGTTTTTATTTAAATAATTATTTGCCTAAGGCGAAGGAAGTCGGGACTGAAAGAGTTATGCTTCATAACATTTAATCAATCACACACCAAGGTTTCCCACAAGGACAAAGGTCAAACAACCTTGCACGGCTTTAAAACGATTTTTACAACATAATACTGCTTTGTGATATTATGGTCTGGCTCACTGTAGAGTCTGTGGCTCAGTGAGAGCATCGGAGCACAGAACCCGAAAGACTGACGTTCAATTTCTTAACCCTTTAACTCCCAGATCAATTTCTTAATTGTCCTTGCTGTCAACCATACAATTCTTATTATGATAGATCAGAGAATTAGTATTGGATCAACTAATTATCCCCAAATTGATATTTTTCTTTATTCTCATCGCTTATCTGGTTGATATTGTATTGATCTTGTAAGGAGAAATTCTGTCTTGGTCACTCATGGGAGTTAAAGAGTTAAGGGAACTCAGCTTTTTTTGTCCTACGTTCGTGAAGAGACGAACAAAATACATCTTTCTTAAAGATTCGTTCTGTCAGCCGGGAAATGTCTTTGCAACTCTTTGAATACTTGTTGATTTACTCATGACACGCCTCAAAGTCAACATCGCGTGATTTCTGGCGTTTGGTCTTTTTTCGATTATTTTCAGCATTTTTTTTAGTTTTGCCGGTCAACAGCTTTGTTTCATTCGTGGAATAGTTCAAATTTGAAATGGAACCGGAAATGTGCGAGAGAAACACGCCGTTTTATCTAAAAGAGCGCAAACTTACGCTAATATTCAATCATATCAAAGCATAAACATGTTTTAAAGCTCTTTTGTTAAACTCGGTTTGAAATTGTTTTCTACATGGAAGCTGCTTAAAACCGATATTTGTCGACATTAAATTTAACACACTTAAAATACAAGTTAGTGACTACTTGAAACCTATGGAAAATTCAGTTTTTAAGTTCTCTGTTTCTCATTTTCACTGGGTAAAACCCGTTTTAACTAAATTTGTTTTGCTGGTGTGAATGGGGTACAAGATTAAATTTTAAAAAAAATGTAGTCATGGTATGGAGTTTCTCATCCACCCTAAAAAGCTTTTCTTTACTCGATTGCTTTACTTGGACTCCACTAAAGATGTCCATCGGTCAAACACAATCTCTTTCCATAACGTGGATCAGGGAGAAGCGTGTCATGGCTCCGATAGAATCCTTATTTCCCTGCTTCTTTCGAATTCGCGTGTGTAGTTGAAACGGTTCATTGCTTCCGTCAAATTGAATTGAAAAAAAAGAAAAGAAAAAAACCCGATCTACAGAGGTGAAAGCGAACACTCGATATTTTTTTCTCATCCACGATATTTTCATCTCATCCACAAAATCAAGAGCGCAAACTTCAGCCAAAACTTGATTTACTGTAGTTTATAATGGTAGTATGACCGAGTGGAGCACAATTCGGTCTGTAATCATACGAGTGATTTACAAAATCGGACGACCGCGAAGAGGGAGTCCGATTTGTTTATCACGAGTATGATTTCCGACAGAATTGGACGACAAGAAATCCTGTTACCAATTAATCGTAACCATTTCAATTTCCGAAAAGACAAATACACCTAGAACAAATATATCCAGTAAGAACAATGTCTTTAGTTAAATATTCCTCCATTTTGGAAATTGCCTTGTTTTTCTTTGGATAGATGGTTGTTGCTATGGTTATTGTGATCAATTCTGCGATTGGTGGATTTAGCTGAGTGGACGTAGAATGATTGGCTACTTCAACTGTCCGATTACAGGTGTCCGATTACAGCAAACTGTCTGATTACAACTGTAAAGAGTGATTAGTGAAAAATGAAGCAGCTGATGCACCAATAACATTTGAGGAAATTGTAATGGTTATGATTAACGATGAAAAAAATACTAGCATCTAAAAGTTCTACTCGCAGTGAAAAAAGTAACCAAACGTTCGCGGTTTTAATCCACCTAAGAAAACGGTCGTGGAAAATTGATTTTAATGATTTGCACTCGAGGAAAAAATAAAATCAAGAGCTGTATCATAAGGAAAACAGTTCCTTGCGAAGAGTTCCTTCATTTACTAATTTTTAATCAAGTTTTTCAAACTCGTACTAGTTTGTCCAATGTATACCTTCCTTTAGGTTCACAGCGACTCAAATTTATCAAATCCATCAACCTCTCCATCTTTGAAAACCAAAATCTTTTCACAGTCTCTAATGGTGTTCAAACGGTGTGCTATAGTAATGACAGTGAAGTCCTTCAGTTTATCGCGCACTACTTTCCAGATGGTTTGTTCCGTTTCTGGATCCACATGGGCAGTAGGTTCGTCTAATATGATGATCCTGCTTTTCTGCAGCAACACACGAGCCAAGCAAATCAACTGCCGCTCCCCAACACTGACATTTGCTCCATCTTCCATCAACTCGTGCTCCAACTGTCCTTTCAAATTTTCTACAAAATCTTTCAGCTGCACATCCTCTAGAGCTTGCAAAAGATCAGCGTCTTGATAATGCTCCAACACATCCAGATTACTTCTCAACGATCCACTGAAAAGGACAGGATTTTGGCCAAGAACAGAGATGCATCGCCGGGCCTCTTGGATGTTCATCTCGTTTATTGGGACATTATCAATCATGATTTCTCCATCAGCATCAGGCATGCGCAAAAGAGCTGCTACAAACGATGACTTTCCTGCACCTGTGCGGCCAGCAACGCCGATTTTTTCTCCCCCTTTGATGCTTAAATTTATATTCTTTAGCACTTGAGGTCCCCCTGGATAGTAAATCAATGATACATCTCTAAATGTGATACTCCCTTCATTTGGCCAGTCTTCCCGGGGGAGTCGCTTCACTTCGTATCCAGGCTCAGAGTCAAGCCTGGTGTAGGTGATGATTCTTTCAACTGAGGTCATATAATTCTCCACATCAGAGGTTGTTCTGACACAGTATTGAAGCCAGGTCAGCGACTGAATGGCGTAAACAAAGGAAAGCCCAGCAAAAGCTATAAAGGAAACATTAACCCTTTAACTCCCAAGATCTCATTAGTAATTCTCCTTACTGTCTGCCATACAATTCTTGTAATGTTGGTTCAGAGAATTTGGTATCGGATCAACTAATAATTCCTTAATTGATATTTGTCTCTATTCTCATCACTTATCTGCTTGATATTGTATTGATCTTGTATAGAGAAATTCTTTCTTGATCACTGGGCGTTAAAAGGTTAAGAAAGTAAAGAAAAAGAAGTAAAGAAGCATTTAAAGTTGAAAATATGAAATAATTGATCCCAGGGAAAACATAATTCAAGTTGATTAATCGAGAACTACGTGTAGAAAGCAATAATATTTGTTTAGTTTACCGGCATTTTGAGCTGTTAACGCGCCTGCTACAGTGGCTGCACCAACCAAACAGGTAGCCATAAGATCAAGGCGTACACCGAGCCATCTGCCGCTCGCCTTCACCAAAATATATGACTGGTTATGAATATCTTGATATCTGCGGAGGACAATACGAATATTTCACTCAGTTCTGATCAGCTGCAGGCCTGAGTCAATTTGGAACGTGATTCGGGTAATCAAACTTTAGATCGAAGTGGTGTTCCCAGTGGTACTTGGCTTTCAAATACATATTCAGAAAACAGAAATGAGAAAGGAAGACGTCCAAGTAAATGGGTAAATGGGATAATAATAATTAATTAATAATTAATTAATTATAATAATAAATGGGATAAATTTAAAGCCAGGGTAAATGGAAGAGAAGAAATAGCCTGCTTTCAAGCTTTTGTTTTACACTGGGTACAAAGCAAGCCACGAGGGATTTAGGAAAAAACATCACGCATCCTGTTCTGAAGACGTTAGCTCTATCCTTCTTTCTTATATCAAGGCTTGCTCGCAAAGAGGACCGAGCAAAAAGCTGAATGTTCGGCAAGGACTCCAATAAAGAAAATTTTAATCTCCCTTTTTCCTTTAACTTTCCTTAACACAAAGGCGTCCTCTTGCATTTAAATCTAATTTTTAACTAGCACTCTCTTCACTGACCCTCCTACAAGCAACATTGCCTACAACAAAACCCAGTCACCAAATACCTGTAAAATGTATCAATAAAATCACTCTGTCTTCCTCTTGTCCGAATTGTGCTCAGTCCTCTCACTGTCTCTGAGAAATGAGAAAAGACTGGACTGCGGCATATTGACTCCAAACGTTTCAGTTCTCTGGCACTCTTCATGTAATACTTCGAAATGTACACGAATAACACGGTCAGCGGAATAGCAACTAACAGAAGCCAGGGATTTGACGCAATTGGTATGAGTACAGCAGCACACATCAGCAAGAGAATTTCCACCGCCAACAGAAATGTTTTGGGTAACAGTTCGTCCGCACAGCCTATGTCATTAGAAAAGCGATTTAGGATTCTTCCGGCGGGATTTGAATCAAAGAACAGAACCGGAGCTTGTAAAATTGCCACAACCATTTTGTCGTGAAGACGATCAGCGCATCTCAGACACACCATAAGGAATCCGTATGCTCGAACGACAGCAAATATAAAGCATGCAGCCACCAGCATTCCATAGATAGCCAGATTTGTCTCATCTCTCTGCTCATCTGGGGTTTGCTTTATGAGAAAAGGAAGCCACAGATCAGGAGCAGCTATCACAACTAAAATAGATGCAAAACAGAAGGATGTTAGAGGATGAGTTACCTTTAACAGATGGAACCCAAGCCATTGCGATCACCATGAGGTAACAAACACGTAATAACAAAGTTTTTGGTAGTTGATCAATATCATCACGACTTACCTTGCGTGATAATACAGAAACAGAGCACTACAATAATAACTAAGGGATGTAGTCCACTTCTAAAGTAGTCCCAGTAGAGCTTGAATGTCACCACTCCAACTGCACGATCTTCTTTGGACATTTGGAGACACTTTCCTTCATTGAAAAGAGGTGCTCTTCTTCCACGCTTTCCAGTATTTACCGAACTTGAATCACTATCCCAGCCAAGGCTCTCGTTCAAGTCACTATTGTCATTTAGGGATGTTTTATGGAGCGGGTTGATGGTTGAACTAATAATGCCTTTTTCTTGCAGCTCATTGAAACGTCCCTTTCCCAGCAAGCGCCCTTTGTATATCACAATCACTTCATCGGCATCTTTCATGTGTTGTTCATGATGAGAAGTCAATAAACGGGTTTTGTCCCTTAGCAGCTCTTTGATGCATTTGTCAAAAATATGTTGTCCTACTTTCGAGTCAACAGCACTCAGCGGATCATCTAATAGATAAAGATCTCCGTCAGCGTAAACTGCACGAGCTAAACTCACTCTCGCCTGCTGCCCTCCACTCAGTACCTCGCCACGTTCTCCTACAACTGTTAGGTCACCGTCAGGAAAGTGCTGAATGTCTTTCCTGAGAGCGCAGGCCTCGAGTACGCAGGCGTACTTGGTTTCTACGTATGGCTGGCCAAATAAAATGTTTTCTCGTATAGTTCCAGAAAAAATCCATGCGGTCTGTGGCAAATAGACGATCTTTGCTCGATTGGTTATCGTTCCACTTGTTTCTGAGATTTCTCCGGCGATCACTGACAGAAGAGTGGACTTTCCACTACCCACTGGCCCGGTGATAACTGTTAAACTTTTTGACGGTGTGATGAACTCGATGTCCTGGAGAATGAATTTATGTTCACGATCAGTTCCTTTGTATGTTAAGTCTGATACTAAAAGTGGTGATGGCCTTTCCATATCTTTTAATTCGACAGCAGAGAAATCAAGGTCCGTATTCTCTTTTCGTTTGACAGAGTTAATCTCGGGGTCATATCTGTCCTCTTCATGTTCATCTTCGGAATTTCCAGGCAGTTGGTCTAAAAGAAGAAAGTCTTCGATTCTGCCTAAAGAAACATAGGCATCGTTTGCTAAGAGGAAACCAATAGCCATCTCATTGCAAGTACTTCGCCTGAGAATACCGACATAAGAAAGGAGCACAAAAACATTCACAGGTGTGATGGTCTGACCAGTCAGCATCATAGTGAGGACTGATACCAAGGTTGCCATAGCCTGTACACTGAACAGCAAGCCATCAACAGTTGACTGAAGAGCATTCTTCAGATGAATGGCGCTAATTTCACGCCTAAAAATAATAATTATATAATGGTTAGTCCAAGTTAGTAGGAGCTTAAAGTTTATGTCTGGGCTTTGGGACCCCTTAGTACCTGCTAAAAATTTTGAGGCGCACTGTGACATTTAAGGCGCAGAGATTAAAATTTAATAAAAACGCCTTAAAAAAATGAAGCCCATTTCTAAAAGAAAATGTAGAAGGCTTATATGTCAATACCTTGTTACTCTAATTCAGTCACCACGTAAATAAGCTGAAAATCTCGATAGTACAACCACTAACTTAGTTTAAGAGATTCAACGAAGGAAAGGCTTTTTTTTTCTTTCAGCGCTCTGCACTTACTTTCGTATGTCGCGAATTTTTTCTTGGAATTTATCCTCCCACGCATGCGTTTTTATGGCACGTATCCCTGCAACCACCTGACTCATCAGCGAAATGCGTCGATCGGACACAGCCGCTGTACGCAGACGCACTGCAGCGCTGGCATAGGATAACTCAGCGAAATATGGAACAAGTAAGAGGAGGAAAATGGCTGCCACGATGGCTTGCCAGCCAATCATGAAACCAAGAAGAGGCACTACCACCACAATTTCGAGGACGTTGAACGGTAATCCAAAAAAATGTGGGAAAGTTTGATTCTCCATTCTTTTAACATCATTAGATATCAGGTCAAGGACGTGCCCTGTCGTAAATTTTTGAAGTGTTTCTTTGTTTAGAAGAAGGCTCTGCAAGAAAAAAAAAGGAACCCAACATTTTAATAAACCGAAAATGACTCTGGCAAGCTAAGCCAGTGGTTTTGGGGAAAATGAGGTCGCTTAGTTTCCTTCACCTAGTATCAATGAATTTTGGAATACCCCGCGTTTATAAAAATTTTATGTTTTTCACATCAACGCACTGAAGCTCAGTTTATATTGTCGAATATTAGGTTTTTTCTTTCGAAATATGGTATTTTGAATACATTTGTGCTACTTCCAATTGACCCAAAATGTCACTGACAACAGGGAAAAGTCTATGATATAAATTACTGTTGGACATTGGTAGGAGAAAAAGCTGATAAAGCGTACCACATCTTTCCCTCTTTATTATCTGTGTCTTGTGATCAACCAATCACCACAGCTACATGCCATCTCTGCTAAATTTTAATAACAACAGAGATAACTCTCTCCCTTCTTTGCTCTTGAATTTCTTCAAGCTCTGGATTTGCCTTTTTCATCTAGGCCTCTTAATCTAGTGTATGCTAGTAAATACTCTGTTGGTAAGTGTGTGTGAAACGAGCGACTAACATAAGTTGTCATAGTGAAAACGAAATTGAACAGAATGTTTGCCGGAGTGTACTTACCGTACGGTACACCAAACCTCTTAAGGCACTGCTAATTCGGATCCCAAACAGCTCAGACCTGTAACCTTTATGATGTAAACCGAAAGTTCCAACCAAAGAAATGAAACATAAACCCAATGCGCAGATATAGTAAAGAGGATTTTTTTCTGTTTCAGGTGACATTAAACTGGAAACAAGATATCCAAGAAACAATGGATAAAGTAGAAGATAAGTTGAACATAAGCCTTGCCCGAACACAATAACCAAGAGATCGTCAACGGAGAGCATCTTGAATAAGCATTTCCAAAGCTTAGGTCTTTTTCCATTTTTCTTGCTTTTATCTCTCTCCTCGTTCCAAATTGCCTGAAGTTTGTTGGTCAAGAAGAAGGCCGAGTCATCCTTCGTCAAGGGTAAAAAGTCCTCCTGATATAAAGGTCGTTGAGCACCTGTCTTGAAGATACTGTTCATCCATTGATAAAGAAGAGCGGACAGATAGCCGGCTTCTTGGGATTTTTCTTCATTTTCGACTCTGGAGTTTTTCCTGTATCCACTTCTCTGTTTCATTGGGATCTAATCACCACAAAATCCAACCACCTAAAAGATAGGAGTATCTAACGTCACTTCCGGTTTGCGACATCATCTTTATATATCGAACATGCATCTTTACATCGCACATTGTGTGATGAATCACACATGTTTCAGCAAAACGGAAAGTTCTTTCGTTTTAAATGTCTTTCAGGCCCAGATCAGACGTCGTGCTCCTGCGGTGTCGAAGTTGATTCAGAAATGAAATTCAAGAAAAGCACGGCGTCTGTTCTAAACTCTTCGGCAAGCTCTGCCGTGTTACACGACTCTGGCGCGACAGCGATTCAAACGTCGTGCCTTGTAAAACCACGCCGTGAAGAGAAAAACGCTTACTCAATATTTGTCACGCAATATACGGCTTAGTCTAACTTCAATTTTCAACAATCGTCAAGAGTGACTTTTGACCAAAAGATAGTCTGCGGCAGGTATATTAAAGCACCCAGGGACTCTGTATGATAATTGAGTTGAACATCCGCCTGGCTTTATTACAATTGGCCATTTTTTGTCCCCGTTGCGCATAACCGTTATCCTTTCCAAATATTTTTATCATCTCTCTCTTGAAAGCTTATTTCGATTACATTACAAAGCCATTTGTTACAGTAAAAAAAATTTTCTTCATAGAACCTTATTGCTGTCCTTATTCTGTTGGAAGAATTGTCGCTGCCTAAATTTAAATAACGCTACCTGAGTAAGAATTTAGAGACCCGCAGTACAGTACTAAGTTTACGCAACGTTACACTTGGGGATGTAAGCGTCTTGTGGGCTGTTTTGACTTTTTGTAAAATGAGTAGCCTAAAGGTTAGATAAGAATCTAGCACCAAACAAAGTATGTCACTGTAAGGACAACGTTCACAGTGAGAGCAATTCGATGAAGCCGTATCTTGCGTGACAAATTCTGAGTAACTACGGGCGCTTAATTTGCATAAATGTATGACGTCAGCTGCAAACCAGCAATTGCATAAAGTCATAATTTATGCATCGTGTTCTATTCGGCATTTTACATGCCTCTGCCATGGCAAATAAAATTCATAAGTTATGTTTCTATATTTTAGCGGTATTTCGTTCTTGCGGGAAGTTACGAGTTGTTTTCAGTAGGACAATTTTGGCTAGATAAAGTTGGAAAAGTCCGGAAATTCAGTGAAAACAGTTCGTCTTGAGTTTTGCGAGTTAAGAATACACGCTGTTTTCATCAGAGAAAACAAGCGATTGTTATCTAGACTATATGACCGGAAATTCACGCCAAGTTATAATACCACGTTACATACCTATAACTTGTCCTGGTAAATGCCGCAACCGATCGCATCGCGCGTAGTGACAGACGCCTGCCATGTTACTTACCAGACGCTCTTGTCGTGGCTCAGTTTGCCTCGTGGTTTATTAAAGTTCGGAAAATGGCTGACGACTTCAATAATGCTTCCCGTTTTTACCGATTTACCATCCCTACGCATCGGTGAGGACCACACTTATTTCATGACACTGGCGTACAGAACCAGTTCAGCCAATACAGCCAATTAATCGTCACTGCATTTTATGCCGCATGTTTCTCCCGTGCCAAGTTCCGAGGCGCGCACAGGTGAAAGCAGCTCAACATTAATCGGTGACCAGATTGGTCCGAAAATCAGCACAAGAGAGGTCATCAAGAACGCTTCGTCTCCCACAATTTTTGAAATGTGCGCGCTTTTGTAATTTGAATTGTCTGAGTCAGCGGGTTAAATTTTGGGTCAAATTTTCTGGTGAAAACAGATTGCTGGTTTTCAGTGTCACGCCATTCAAAATAGATCAAAATAAAAAATAAAAACCGTTCAATCGATTTAGTCTAGAATCTGGAAATAGAAAGAAGCTAGATATGTAAAGACTCTCGCCAAGATTCAGGTCACAGCAATTTTTCTTACGGAAGATATGAGGAGAAACGTTTTTCCCAAATTTATAGAGATTTGTATGGAGCCGCCATGCTGGTGCCCACCTAGATGGGCACCAACATGGCGCGCAGAAACATCTGTCACTGAGTTTTGCTACAAAAGCGTGAATTTATCTCTCTAAGAACTCATAAACGTAACAATAATACTTTATTCTAATACAAGAACTGTTCAGATAGCTGAATTTCCCTAAATAAGTCACCTTTTAAACCAACATAACAGCTCTCTCGCTCGTCATGTAAAGGCCACGTCACGCAAAAGCTTAGAAATTCAAGAGTAGTCTATCACTAAACCAAGAACCCATTTGGAGTGAAAATTTGTCTGAATATTAGTTTTTAGCTGCTCTAATACATCATGAAAGTAAAATCTCAGGAGGATCAATAGTTCTGAAGTCTGAAATTTAGTGACGTCACGTGAAAACCAGCAATTCAAATATTGGTCTGTAAACAAACGCCTATTAAGAATGTTCAGCCAGTTAATCGGCCTAGTGAAAAACGCAATCACGAAAACAAATCCCGAATTTTGAACGACTCCGGCTCGTCTGAATTAGAGTCCTGCCTCTACCGTGCCAAGGTCGAAGCTAATTCCAATAAGTTCGGTTTGGCAAAAGCACTTGGTCTGAACTGGGCCTCAGTTTTACTGAACATCTTTAGTTTTATAGATGTCTTCAGCTTCATCAGACATATTGAACTGTATCCTCGAAATACGCGCATTTTATATTTGTCCAAAAAGGGCCTCCATATTGATCAGTGCCGCGTAAAGATATAGTTTACCTACCTACATTTTAACTTGAGGACAGACAACAAGCAATTGCAGCTGAACAAATTGCGTCGAAACGATTGTGCATGATAGATGTTCAGGCCAGCAAGATTTGTATCATAATTAGGTCACCCTTAGCCTCACTCCTGTTCAAAGGCTTGGCAACCAAGCACACGACTGCAAAATGGACTATTGTGCATTAATTAATTTATTAATCACGCAATACTTTCCAGATGGTTTGTTCCATGTCTAGATCTACATGCGCAGTGCGTTCGTCTGATATGACGATTTTACTTTTCTGCAACAACACACGACCTAACTCGAGTTGGTTTCTTTATTTCCACTTGCTCTAGGTTGGTATCTGGAACAACCTCAGAAAATAAATTATGAAATATAGGGTTAAAACAGCTTGCGTCAGACCAAATGGTCAGCAACTGCATGACAGTTTTAAGTGAGTGAAAATGAAGTGTATATATTTTTTCCACTGCCGGTTGTTTTCAGTTTGCGTGTATAGTTCAAACGTTTGATTGCTTGTGTGGCGCCAAGCAATATAAGCTATAAAAACAGATCTGATGAAGAGAAACTGAAAATTCGATATTCATGCCCCATTCGCGCTCTTTTAATTACTAAGCGAAATCGCGCACTTGAACTTTACTGTAATTATGATAATAATAATTCATAATGATCAAACCCCAGTACGTAAAGCAAACAGGGATAAAAATAGCCATTATTAGCGTTTTCAATCCACATCAGCATAGTTTGATGGGGACAATTCGCAGAAAACCTTTTTTGACGCGAAGTTGTAGGACACAACGCTTTAATCCAGATCAACTCGTGATTGTGTACAACATTCAGATTACAAACATGTCCACCCTTCCACCATGTGTTGTCTCAAATTGATTTACGCACAGGCGCCCAAGCTCCAGCTGTGAGATGATCATCTTGCGAAATAAAAGTGATGGCGAAATTATAAGAGTTTGTGTGGGAATATTTACGACCGCTCTTATGAATAAAAAAGAGAAGCTTCTCTTATGTAAATTTAGAAATAGTAACTCGCTAAAATGGGCTCTATTCAACATAGTAAGCGGTCAGATAGCAAGCGATAAACTGTGGAAGTAAGGTGAGGTATTTTTATTGAGAATTTGACATTTTTTTAATTCTTAAGAGCGGTCTTGAATATTCCCATATAGACTCATAATTTCGCCATGACTCCTATTTCGCAAGATGATCATCCCACAGCTGGAGCTTGGGCCGCCTGTGATCTACGCCTACGGTAAAAACTGAACAAAGAAAACCTACATTGACAACACATCGGGGTAAAAGGAAATTGCAAACCTCACACTTACACATTCTGTGCGATAAACGTGAGAAAAGTAACAAAAACTGTAACAAACAAACATAGAAATCGCAGTCCCCGACACGAAACTACTTCTTAGACAAAAACCATGTACTATTGAGCCACGTGACCTAATCAATATCAGTTCGTTCATTCGGCCGCTTGTCGGCCCCAACATAGTTAATTATCTATTCTACTAACTTTGATCCAGCAACGTCTCTAGAAAAGTAAATAGAACAGTGTGCATCTACTAAAAATTAAATGAAGAGTCTACCGAGGAAATAACAATTCCTTGCTAACATTTTCTTTTTTTCTGCGATGTTCATAGTCCTGTTACCCAGATTTTGAAACTAGAGCTATTTAATAAGAAGAATCTAATACCTCTCCATCTTTGAAAACCAAAATTATTTCACAGTCTCTAACGATACATCTCTGAATGTGATACTTTCATCGTCTGACCAGTTTTCCGGGGGAAGTACGTCATTCCACTTTGTATCCAGGCTCAGAGTCAAGCTTAGTGTGGGTGATAACTCTTTCAACTGACTTCATGTATTTCTCCACATCAGACAGCGACACTTTTCTGACGGAGTACTGAAGTATGGTCGCAGACTGAATGACATAAACAAGTGACAGTCGAGCAAAAACTGAAAAGAAAACATTTGAAACAATATTTCCTATTGATTAGGAAGATGCTGAAGACCAGAAGTACAAAAACCGCCAAAGATATAACTTTTAATCATTATGGAAGGTTGCTGTTTTAGAATTGTGATCGGTTATCAGCTGATTTACTTTGCACTTTCAAGGCAGCTTACTCGTCGTTCCTGTGTTATTGGACGAGTCCTTTGCATGCAATGTTGGATGCACTGACTTGACATCCATAAGCTGAATGGAAATCAAACCCGTTTATTTGAGCACAGTCAAAGCAGTTGGGCTGAAATTACAAAAACATTGATGCGGAAGTAAACTGAATTCTTTGTCGGTTGTTGTACGGATCTAGAAAGAGTGTTTTAGAGTTGAAGGATTTTAAAGGATCAAGTCTCGTGAGCCTAGTGTCTCATAAGCGCGAACGAAGGCGGGACGAAGGCTTCGTCGTGGTGGTGCTAGTCTCTCGCGACACTGTGACCGTGCATCTTTCTAATTTTAGTCCATACATTGAAAAATAAATATTGCCTCCGAATCTCTTCCTGTCAAACGGTTTTACTGAAAGATGAATTTTCACAAGAATTTGAATATTTTTTACAGAAAAACAGCCCAAGGGGTACTGCTAAGATTTTCCGGTGGGGTGGAGGAGAGAGATCGCAGTTTATAGAGTTTCTGCGCACCCTCCATGGATTTTTTTACATCGCTGCTCTCAAGCTTTCAAAGGGCTCTCAAACTTCATTTTAATGTCATGGCTCTTCTTTCAAATCTTTATTGTTGTTGCCACTTTCTCTTTAACGTATGCAGTTAGACAGCATTTCATTATGGTATTAGTGCAAGTTTTGATCAAAGGATTTGACTTACTTAGTGGCAGTATTTCCCTAATCGAACTCGTGATCAAAAGTATTTTGCGGAACCAGTTCTTTGTCTGACTAAACTATTGCACTAATAAAACTAATTACAAAAAATTGAATCGATGATTGTACCGCGCGGAAGCGATTATTTTATTCCATATACAAAGCCTTAATACCTTGCGCTCTCAGGAAGTTAACAAAAATAACAGGAATAGGATGTCAGCGTTGTGTTTGATAAGCCTTTTGTGATCGTCTCAAAAGAAAACAGTTAATCTTTTCAAATTAAATGACACGAGTCGGGTTTAGCACGAAATATGATGCTGGTTAAAATCGAATTTAACCGCAATTAACCTCATACGTGATCCTTTTCTGAGGAAATAAAAACATTTTGAAATAAATCTTAGAATATGTAGTGAGATAAAATTCAAGTACTGAAGCCTTATGGTATCCTCAATATGAACATATCCACCGTCATGATATGTTTTGTTCTTCCCTCCCCTTTCATAGAACTTCGCTCACGCTGGAGAAGATTGCCCTCAGACAGCGAAGTAAGTCAGCTGGGTTAGACCATATTTCAAAGGATACCGATATCATTTAGTCTTTCCTGAATAAGTCAAAATTCCGATAAACTATCTGCAGGAAATCTATTTTCGGTAAAAGTCAGTTTCTTCTGGAAATTTCTAACGAGTTCCTTTCCTCAAATTTTCGCTTGTAATGAGTGTAAGTGGTGCTTGACTTTTTTCAGCAACGACGAACAGCAAAAACAAACTTACGTATTGTTCTTGGTTTCCCTAAAATCCTTCATTCAACCAAGCAGAAAAATTACAGTTGCCATTTCCCAATCATTGCAAATATTATAGTTGGGCGTGAAACCTGCTTACAGTCGACAGCAGTAATATCATTTTTAGCCGTTTCCTGTAAATGTCTAATCCTATCTTCTTCTAAAACGTGCAATTATGTAGCCACTAAAACTAAACTCATAGATAAACAACCTCGTGCTCGTTCAAGATGAGTGATCAACTTTGTTCACATCAGTTCGAGATTGACAGCACAGTAAGTGGAATTAGGAAAAAAAAAATAAGTTAGTCAGTCTGAGAGAACGGTTAATTCCTCGAAGCTATTACATCCATGTTTTCTAACATATGCAATTCGTTTTATCATTTGCGGTATGAGTTAATTGTGGGCCTTTATTGAGTGCTCAAGGTATTTCGCAAGTTCTACGTGAGGACGCGCATGAGTGGGTTATACGTCAATGACAGGATTACCTGACACTTCCGACAACGGTTCACTTCAGAATTTGTTTATGATCACGTAACGTCAATGCGAACAAATTTTGGCCATAAAATTTTTCCAAGAAGGAAAGAACACAAGGACAATACAGTTCTGTTAACTATTAGCCTCAAGTCATGTCTGAGACAAGTCCGAGTCGACGATCGAGACTTCTACAGGTTCTTCGGAAGCCAAAATTCTTAAAAGGACTTCACATCTTGGCAATAGTTCTCGGTTTTCTATGCATTGGCGGCTGTTTTGTGCTTGCAAGTCTCACGTACATTTTATTTGGAGACTGTGATGGCTGTGAGATGGAATCAGACGATAAAGCTATGGTAAAAGTGTTGAGGATTCTAGCCACCGCTTCTTTCCTATTAGGAATTCTCTCAATTGCTTTGTCACTGTGCTGTAAAGGAACACCTAGTAACAGTCTTACTCCTCAAGTTGTGGTTTCGCAGATACCCGAAGCAGATTTAGAGAAATCGCCCGCTCCTGTGCTAGCTTATAATCACATTCCTCATCGGCAAGCGTTTGATGCCGAAGATTCGGCGATGAGTTACAATTTGACTGAATTTGTAGCAAATGCGGATAATATAGACGAACAAGGTGCGTATAATTCAGCAAATGCGGGATTTTGGACGGAAGAAATTGATGGACCTGTTACACCGCCGCCAACTTACGAGGAAGCTCTTGTTATGAAATGGCCGGTTGTAACTGTTAAGGAAAACAGTTCACAGAACTCAGAGGAAACGGTCTCTTTCAACACGGGATTGTAGAGGAAAATATTCAAATTTACAGACATGAGAGAACAAAAGCTCGCAAACCAAAGCTCATTAATCTCAACACATTGACAGTTTGATAAAGGTTACTCACGATGGTTTCACGCGATAAATATAATTGTTCCCTTTGTCATCTATTTTTTATGTTCTTTGTAAATATTATAACTCTATTTAATTATCATCTAGCAGTCGATGTTAAAATACCGCGTGAATTTCTTGTACAGTTTGAAAATGTAATTATTTTTGTTAAGGTCGCAATTTTGCTTCGTTCACACACATACAAAAATGTATATATACATATTACCTTACGCTATTGCGTGGCTAATATCATGCTTTTGATATTGTGTATACATACTTAGTATGAATCGCGAAAATTGTTCAACAAAGAAATAAATGTTATATAATAATTCGACATTTCTTGGTTTATTTCATCACAGACAGAGCTCACGAAACTGCAACTCAAACAATTCAACAAGACAGCTTTCATATAATTTTTCAGAAATCAATAGAGCAATACCAGATAAGTAGAAACTGAAACTGAAAGAGCTCTTCAGATAAAAAAAATCAACAGAGCAGCAGAGACTAGATAAAGTACAAAGTACATTATTTTCATTTGGGAGTGGAAACCACAACATCACTGAGTGAAACAATACAACTCCTTTTACCATCAATTAGAACCTTTTCAGTTGTAATGCAAACAATCCTCACCATTACACCTTACCTAAATTGGACATTTACGTATCCATATAAGAAATATTGGTCTTAATAGCAAGCCAGTATGTTGGACCACAAATAAGTTACGAACAATAAAATATAAATGATGAATTGAACTGTCCACCACATCTTAAACACCAATTAATAGACAGACTACACAAGACACTAGAATGTCTGATGAACAGTTAATGAAGGAACACTTCTTGTAAAATCCAGATGTGTCAAATTTTAGGATTACTTTGAATTTATTAAACCCTTATGCTCTAACAGGGAGAATTGGTTCAACAATCAAGAGCTTGTTTAGTTGGTGGTCAATTTCTTTATTCTCATGATCTAAGTATATGATTTACAGGAGACAAATTAAGGAGAAATTAGAAGCTAATCACTATTAGGGGTTGCAGGGTTAAAGTTTGAAAAACATTGCCTGGAAAACAAGAGTACTGTTTCTCATATCATAACTCAAAAACAACACAGGAGTAAAAACAGAAAATATCAGACCTATGCATTGTGATTTTCAAGCCACTGACAAAATATGCAGAAAAAAAGATGAAATCATCAGTTTCCAAGGAAACCTTTGAATCTTACACGCCCCTTAAAATTTTTTTTCCAATATAAGGGTAATTTGGCTGAATCTTTTCAATTTTTACATACTCAGGATGTTATGTATGCCCTTGACTGGATAAGTACTAATTCACCCAGTATATGATGTTGGCATGTAACAGGAAATAATCATTACGTATACAGAAACGCATTTGAAAGGCACTTGAGATTACAAACCCTTATACCACTGGCCCTTCTGCAATACCTTTACAAACAAAGAAACAATTCTTAAGTTTCGCTCCTTCTCACCACACAAAAAAAATCAATCTTGCTGTTACTAGGCAACACTAGGGTCTCCCATAACAGCGACAAAGAGTCAATTTACCATGTTGCCTTCTGCACACTAGCCATCAAACCTTTGTCAGCATAGTGACGGAACATCATTCTTGAAACACGATATCGTCCAACAAGAGCCCTCCCTCTGTCAGTCAAAACACAACGATTGCGAACTCTTGAGATTGAACTGTCCCTTGGCAGTTTTTTCAGATCTTCAGCAGCTTTCTTGCGAATAACAGAAGGTAAAATATCATTTTTCTTTATATATCTCAAGTTGGTGCGTTCCATCTCATACTCTGCGTACAACTCTCTTCTCCTCATGTCTCTCCTTCCCCATTTCTTGAGGTAGTTTGGTTTCAAATAAAATTTATCCAGAGGTGTTGAAGTCTTGAATGACCTTGCCCAAAGACCTTCAGAAAAGAGCCAGATAACAAAAAAGAGAAGTTAGTCCTGCTTTTAACCCTTTAACTCCCAAGATCTGATTGTTAATTCTCCCCTCTAGCTGCTACACATTTCCTTGTAAGTAAGTTACAAGAGTTTGGTGTAAGATCAAGATAACAACTTTAACCTGATAAGTTTGAATATTCTCATGACCTGTTTGCTGGATAATGTTTAGATATTATAGGGAGAAGTTACTTAGTAATCAATTTTGGGAGTTAAAGGGTTTATCAACAAAAATCAATACTATTTTATTGAAGGATATTGATTAGTGAAACTTAACAATGAAAAAAAACACTGACCCACTGATATGCTCTAATCATATTCATCATTATAAACCCTTTAACTCATAGCATGTAAATTCTCCCAAAAAATATCCATATAGTATCCAGCAAACAGATAATGAGAATACTCAAAGATAGAAGTTGTAAAAATTGATCTTACATGAAATTCTTGTCACTGATTGACAAGATAATGTGTAGCAGTTAGAGGGGAATCAACAATTATATCTTGGGAGTTAAAGATTGAAATCTATAGATAATCAAAAGCAGATTGTGAAAAAGTAAAACTCAGGCATTCATTAGATTTGATTCTAGCAGACACCAATGGTGCTAAGTCAAAACAGGATGTGATAATTTCACTTTTCTGCATCAAAGAATATCACCGCTATCCCCTTTCTGTTTAATCTTTCCACAACAAACAGATCCTTTCCAAGTGAAAAGAAATAGTGAAGAGCTAAGTGTGTCCAAGGAAAAAGGAGAATCAAGGAATCCATTAACTTTTCACACCCTACAATCAGTATGCAAATTCTCCATACTGTTCTCTATATATTTCCTAAGGTGCAGACAAGGAGAATTTCTTTCTGAATCCAGGGCTTCTTTAGCTGGTGATCATTTCCTTTATTCTTGTCACTTTAATGTTTGACTCTGGAGTGGTAATGTGAGGAGAAATTAGATGCTATTCACTCTTAGGAGTCCAACAGTTAACACTTTCACTCCCAAAGCCTAAACATCAATTCTTTGTACTGTCTAATGTAAATTCCTTGTAATAATATACATAAAAAAAAAATAGGAGTCCAACAGTTAACCCTTTCACTCCCAAAGCCTAAACATCAATTCTTTGTACTGTCTAATGTAAATTCCTTGTAATAATATACATGAAAAAAATTATGCACTCCTGATTGACTGAAAATTAGTGCATTCTCATGTAACACAAGTGCAAATTACGAATAGTATACGGACGTTTTAAAAATCGTCTGTCTTGTCTTTCTGTAATTATTTTTTCATGTACATTATTGACAAATAATTACATGATTTTGAATGCAATTTGGTGTAATAAGCACTTGTAAATTTTTCAAAGACTACAAATTGCAATCATCTGACAGGCTCATGCAGTTTTGTTGTCTTTGAGAAATTTACTATTGCTAACTAACACCAAATTGCACTCAAAATCATGTTATTACCTATAACAATTCTAACACTTAAATCTAATGAGTTGCTAGTACCATATCTACCCTTGTTTTTAACCAAATTTCTCAGAAAAAAAGTTTTCACCACAAAAAAGACAAGTCAAATCTTTGTACAATTATTTATTAAGACAACAAGAACAAGAAATATACTATACCATTAACACTGATATCTTTTGCTACTTAGTTATTTATAACCAATATCGAAGCTCAACAAAAATCTACATTGTATTTACAAAAAATCTAGTCTGCTCTGCAAACTGGATAATTCTGAGCTTTTCAGAAATGGTGTAGCTTCGACATATAACCATGATAAGTTTTGTTGCCATATCAAATTCATAATTGCTTGTGATTACAATAATATGGTGTGATTGTGATGTCTATCTAGACAGCTGTTTGTTATACTCTACTAGATTTTTTTCATGGATTGAAATTGCAAATTTTTCATAGGTAGATTATTTGACTCAAGCTAAAAAAGACCAGTTCCTATGAAACTTTTGTTACTTTCTTTGTTGTGCTTTTAACATATACAAATTAGGATGCACCTGACAAATAACAGAATCCATGTATAACAAGCACCACAATGTTGATGGTTATTTTTATATAAAGTGCGTATTATACACAGGTAAATACAGTAATCAGACCTTTGTGTTGTGTGCAGAAGGGGCAAACATTGCAAGTTGCTATAGGGAAAATATATGGCAAAAGAGTTGTTTTAACATCCAAAAAATTAAACATTTTGATGAGAGATCAACACTTTTCCACTGCTGCTTTATCAGAAATGGAATTAAGCAATGTTGATATGAGGGAATTGGAGGTAAATATCCACCACTTTTACTGAAACTGGGGTGAATAATTGTTTTAGTATATACCACCAAAAAATTAGTTTATTTCTGGCAATATACCAAAAAAGTGGTTGGATATTAAATATTTGACTCGCAATTTGGTCTCTTTGGCTGCTCGGAAGTGAATAGCATTTGCTAATTACTTCCGAACTGACCAATCAGCTCATGCAAAAGGCATTATTTACCTGTGTGGTATATACTTAATTCTAATATTCATCAACTGCAGGGCTCCTTGTTCAACTTGGAAAGCAAAATAAAAAGGCAAAAAAAATTGTGTCTCGAAGTAAAAATTTTAGTTTCCAGAAAGATCTCGTTGTATATTCACCGTGACAATAAGTAGAAATTCGGCTACCGCAGATTTTCCCACTTAAACTAAACTGTCTCTTACAGACTTGGGCAGTTGTGTATATTCAGTGTTCTCCCTTATTTTAAGTATGACAGGTAAAATAAATTTTCGAACCGGTAAAGCAATACTTTCACATGTTGAATTTTCAAGAATTCCAAGCAATGTTAATCGGTAATAAGAGGTACTACAGGCGGTAAATGTTACCGGTTATTGCCTGAAGAGGAAAACACTGGTTAAAGTTGTATTTGTTATTAGGGTCTTAAATGGATATTTACTTACCTCCAGAAAGGACCGATTGACATACTTTAGGAAAACTGTACAAATTTCCAACCAAATTCAAGCGACTACACAAAAACGCCGCCATTTTGATTTCAAGAAGAGTGGACTAGTGAAATCGAGGCTGTTATTGCATATTCATTTTGTATCAGCGGTAGCCTTTTAAAGAGAAGACACGAGTCTTCCAAAACAAGACAGTGTTCCGTGTTATGTTGACGAAATGTTATAGTTGTTGTGACTGAGTTATCTCGATAACTAGACAAAAGTTTTCTTAGAAAGAGACAAGGATCATTTTTTTTCCAAAAGAAAGTGGACAAGGAGGGTTGGAGAAGAAAATGAGAACGCTAAATCGAACGATTTGCTTCGTTTACGCGGCCGGAGATGCCATGATTTTTTCATGCTGACCGTGGTCTGAAGGGTTTCGCTTTGTTAATAATTTTACTCTTGATATCCTAAAGAAACCCGCTTAGCTTGTGTACAAGGCTTGGAAACTTTTGAATTTTATTTTATTGTTTGTTTGTTTTCCTTCGCTGTTTTAATTTATCCATGGGAAGTTCTACTTCAAAGTTCCGCAAAGCTCTTCAACGTGGTGAAGGAGTCGAGGCTATGCACATTTACCTCAAGAACCCTGAAATTAAAAGAAATCTTGATCCGAACTGCAGCTTCGGAGTGAATCATGGCCGAAACACTGCACTGCATTATGCCGCAATGCATGCGATGAAAGCTTTTATACGCGAGTTCCTGGAGGAAAAAGCTGACCCGAACATTACGAACGCGATAGGGCAAAATGCCTTGCACTGTGTTAGCTTGAGTTTCCGAGGAGTCGAATCGTCCGTCGATAAAGCGCGAGCCGACTGCATGTCGATACTTCTAGGATGGAGTTCAAATCTTCCGGAGGGAACAGGGCTTGAGATCGATGCACGCGATCAGGTAGGAAAAACAACCGTGTGTTAAATAAATGTGTAAATATTTCTGCGGAAATGTATCTAACCTCTTTCACCACTACCATTTTACCCATGAACAATTTCGTATCATAATCTCTAAAGCAAGTATGTCTTTTGTTTTTTTTTTCTTGCAGTAATGAAAAGTAAATGAAAAACCATTTCTTTCAGAAAAGTACATTAATTCTTCAGTTCTGACCTAACATGTATTACTAAAAGCTGGCAACGTCTTAATTACGAGACGCGACACAATTTTAACAGATAAACGAAAATGCCATGAACCCTTAATATTGTGATTAGCATTTCTTCTCTGACTGTTTTTTTTAAAACCGTTAGAAAACCCGTTAGTTGTTTAGGCTGTTAGATAATACGAAATTTTTAATCCTATGCGAAACAGAGTACTTCGAATTCACTTCCAACTTGTTGTCGTGACAAATGAATGGAAACCGAGGCGTACAGGTGTTCTGAATGAAACTGAAAAAAAAAAATAAAATAAGCAAAAGCTTGCTGTTCTTGAAAAGCTGAAATATATTTTCCCCAGAAACAATCTATTTTAAGGTACTGGAAACCTTTCTTTTTTTACTCTTGGTCTTTTGATATTAAAATGTTTTTGAAGACAGCGAAGTAAAGTAATACAAACCATTGTGGTTCATAAGACACTGCTTCCGACTGTTTTTCTCAGCGTTTCTAATTATGTCAAAAATAGGAGTGCATTCAAAGAGCTTAAGGTGGCAAATTATGATGAATGTGATAAATTATTAAACTGTACGCAAAAAAACCTTTTTGTCAGACAAATGACATGCAATTCCTTTAATATTCCAATTGTAATTTAAAATATTGCTATCACTATAATGAAAAATCGTTTTCATAATTTTTTCGTCTTCCCTCAGCAGACATGCCTTCTAGTCAAACTCAAATGTAGTTGACAAAAATCTTATTAAAATTTTGTTTTTTGTTAGAGCTGAGGTCAAGGGTTTGATTAAATGTTTTAAATAATTTGGCACCACAAACTTATATGATGAAATTTTTAATTGAAACTTAGATATTACAGACAGCTGATACTGTCTCCCACATTAAAATTATTAATTTTTTAAATTAAAAATTTATTTTAGGTTTCACATATTAAAAAATATCCAGAGATGCATCGTGTCAATGTTCTGTACACATCTGCCCTAACATCTTCTTTTAATTGTTTTAGTATTACACTTATTCTTAATAATTAATATAAATGGACAATTTGATTGGTAATTGCTAAGTGTACTTAACCCTCAAACTCCCATGAGTGATCAAGACAGAATTTCTCCTTACAATTTAAATACAATGTCAAGCAGACAAGTGATGAGAATAAAGAAAAATGTCAATTGGGAGATTATTAGATGATCATGATCTAATACCAAATTCTCAGAACAAACATCATAAGAATTGTGTGGCAGACAGTAAGGAGAATTTCTAAAGAGATCTTGAGAGTGAAAGGTTTAAGTAACCATATGGACAGGGGAAGGGCTGGCAAATTGTCACTTTAATGAAACAGAAGATTCCTATACTAAGATTCCTATACTAATTATTTTAAAATTCAAATCTTGCAAGGTGGAATGGATTGCATTACAATGTACCTATAAGAAATTTTGAATTCTCTCATAAATTCAGGACTTTTTTCCTTTTATAATGGAAGTCACTCATTTTTCTTTTTCTTTTCTTGTATACATTTTAATGTGTTTATTTCCTTATCATTTCTGTATTATTTCTGAATTCTGTCTGCAATATTGATTTTTAGCATAGTTTAACTGGTAAGTTGATAAGTGATACCCTTTGACTAACATCTCCTACCTGCAGGTCAATTAAATTTTTATGATTAAAATGAGAAAAATCAAGTGTTAAGTGTAAGTTTGTAATGTGACCTTCTCACCCTGATGAATGAATGTTTTAGACTGGAAACACTCCGCTGCACTATGCTGCAAGCTCAGGACTATATCAATGTGTTCAGGTATGTACTCTGTCAAAAAAACTTTTATAAACTATCTGAGATACAAAGGGTCCTGACTGGGAAACAACCTATTGTTTATTGCACTGGTAAACGCATAGAAAATGGAAACATCCTGTGTTTTTACAACAGGTTTTATCAACATGATGCTAATGACATTGCTGTCACCCTAGCAGTGTACAAGACACATGCCTTACATGAACTTTGTGATGGGCCTCACTCATTATGAAGTCTCTGTGGCCAAGTCCCCAATTCTTCATGGGGACTTAGAATTTGTTCTTTGTCCTGTGCCCTCCGATATTCTATTTACAAAATCCTGTGTTTTTTTAAGTTTATTTTATAAATTAAAGCAATAGACCCCTAGCTACTCTCTATTGGTTTCTTGGTGTTATAACCCACATGAGATGTTCAGAGAACAAGAGAAAAGTTTGTAAATCATGCGCTGGAGGACAGTGATTTCCACGTTTTTGATTGGAAAGTGCTATATAAAGTGCAGACTATTGCTTAAATAAGTTTTGACTTCTCTTGTAAGCCACTTGGTCTTTCACCCCTGGAGTTGAATAACTCCCAAAAGTCATCAAAATTTTACTTAAATGTAGCTCTTCCACCGCAAAAAACCAGCATATTTTTCCTTTTCCTGAATAGCAAACTTGGGACTATTTAGGATACTAAGTTTAAACAACTTCAAGTGTACTCTTAACCCTTTAACTATAGAAATCTGATTGACAATTCTCCCCTCTAGCTGCTACACATTTCCATGAGAATAACTGAAAGAATTTGGTGTTAGATCAAGATAAAAACTTTTACCTGATCAGTTCAAGTATTCTCATTATTTGTTTGTTGGACAATGTGTGGGTCTTATAGGGAGATGTTACATGTTAATCACTTCTGGGAGTTTAAGAGTTAATCTTAATCTTATTCTTTTATTCTTAAGTTGTTGGTTGCTAATGGAGCATCACTTTATGAAGAAAACAAGAATGGGGAAACTGCATGTGACTTTGCCATCAAAAGAGGATTTAACTCCATTGCAGCTTTTCTGGAATCAAGGATGGTTTTCTCTGTAAGTACAGCATATGTTATGGTTGAACCCCTAAAAACCCTTAGAGTGACCAGCATCTAATTTCTTCATACAGTTATACTGCTGAAGCATTCATTAAGGTTATGAGTATATAGTTATTGATCACCAACCAAGGAAGGTTTGATTGTTAAGCAAATTCTCCTTGTCAGTACTAAAGGAGATGTATAGAGAAGAGTATGAAGAATATAGATACTGATGTTGTGGTGTAAAAAGTTAAAGGAGAAGATTTCATGGTTGGAGTAATAGTTGACTGTGTGATGTGGTTAACCCTTTAACTCCCAAGATCTTATTGTTAATTCTCCCCTCTAGCTGCTACACACATCCTTGTAAATTAGGTATGAGAATTTGGTATAAGATCAAGATAACAACTTCTACAGTTGAACCTCGATTATCCGGACCCCGATTATCCGGACTATTCAATAATCCGGACTTTCTTCTCTGGTCCCAATTTTCCCATGAATATTAATTAGTTTTGATCTTGAAAACTCAAAGTCGCAAAAAGCCCAATAATCCTTTCAAAAGACTGTTGAAACAGCGTATTATCCTATGCGCTTTTCAAAATTCGAAAGTGCGACGAGTCAAAGAAGTATTCTGATGCGTTCAGCTGATATATGGTTAGCTCAATTGTTTTGTTGCCAAGGGAATTTCATGCTTGATTAGTTCCTTCTGCGTGGGTTATGTAAACACACGAGCGATCGATCGTAAACTCAAATCAAAAACATGCCCACGAAGCGAAAGCTTGCCGTTCTATTGATTAAAGATAAGCAGATAATTATTTCACATTTCTATCTCATTAATATTCATATTCTCGATTATCCGGACTCTCGATTATCCGGACTATTTACCGAGGTCCCGATGAGTCCGGATAATCGAGGTTTGACTGTACCTGATAATTTTGAATATTCTCATTAGCTGTTTGCTGGATAATGTAAGGATATTTATAGGGAGAAGTTTTCATGTTGATCACTTCTGGGAGTTAAAGGGCTAAGGTTTTTATCAAGGTATGAAGTAGTGGTCAGGGTTGTAGCTAAGAAATTACATTGGGCTGCTGGCTGAAATTTTGAATGTGATGGCTCACAGATAGTGTTAGATTTTTAAGCATTGTAAGTGTGTAACCTCAGAATTACTAGCTTTTTCTTCTGGCAAATTTCACAAAAAGCCTGAGTGGGAGAAAGAAACATGAGACTGACTGATAAAACAGCTTGCCTGAGCTGCGTCAAAAATTATTCAGAAGTGATTGTGATTTTGCAAGAGAATTATAGATAGAGGCTGGAGAATTCTCCAATCTCCAATATCCATAAATGTGCTGGGTGATTCAACAGATGAGGATACACTACCTCCTGTTTCCATGTTTTTGGAGTCAGTGACAATTTTCTTAACAAGAAACTGCATTATAATTCATGCTCTTTACTTTTCTGAAACTTTCCAATCTTTTTTCTTTATCAGCAAGAATCTCCAAGTGCCAATGCAGTTGAGGAGCCTGTTTTTATTGACAGAGATGACCAGGTATGCATTGCATAGAATTGAATTTATTTTATCCTTCATGTGCTTATGCAATATCCTCAAATGCAGAAAAAGTTGTTTGGAAATATTTTTTAGAAGTTTTCCTTTAAAATGGCAAGTACATGCTACAACCTCAGTTAAGTTTTGTTAATTTTTTGGTTACTGACATTAAGGAGGATTATTTCAACAATACAATAGTTGTAACACTTAAGAATTAGATGTACCTTGTGCAGAAAAAAAAATATTTACACCATTGTGTCAGTTACTGCATTGTTCAACTTGAAGACAGATGCAAAATATTGGTTCAGAAAGATAGAAAACACAGTGATAATCCAAGAAACAACAATTAACTCGTTAACTTCCAAGATCTGATTGTTAATTCTCCCCTCCAGTTGCTACATATTTCGCTGTAACTTAGTTATGAGAATTTGGTGTCAGATCAAGACAACAACCTGTACCTGATAAGTTTGAGAATTCTCATTATCTCTTTGCAGGATAAGGATTGGATATTATAGGGAGAATTTATGTGTTAATCTCTCCTGGGAGTTAAAGGGTTAAAATTAAGCATAGAGAGAATTGGTGTAAAAAAAAGATTGCAAATGATGAACTTGAAAACTTTAGGCTTGAGTTTTAGAGATTCAAAATTAATTTATTTTGATATTTGAGTGAACGTGACCTCGCATATTGAAGGGCTATGTTTAGAGAGTTTTAAAATTTAGAACCAGGACATAATTATGCAATATTAAGTGACTTTACCATGTTAAATCACTGTGCAAATTGGCTTGTTTTCTGAATGCTAGAAGCAATACAGAGGTCTTTGTGCGCAAGATCTTCAAGAAGCAAAGGATCAGATGCTTGTAGAAACCGCAGATATGCTCAGGGTAAGCTTAATGTCCACTTAATTTTCGGAATGGTTAGACACTTTTTATTTTCCTTTTACACTTTCCAGATTGGTCACAATGGCCAGTCAGAGTGATCATAAGGGATTGTAAGCAAACCATGATGGTGACGGCAATGAGGATGTGGCAAAATAAAATATAAAATGGGTAGCACTATAGCACAACATGAGTATTTTAAAACTTTGTACACATCTGAGCTGTCTTCCTGCAAAACAGCATTATGAAATGACCAAATGGAACTCAATGCTGCTCCTACATTTGTTATTATATATTTTGATTTGTAAATTTAATGCATGTGTTTGTGTCGTAGGTTCCATTGTTTACTGCTGAAGGTCTACTTCGGAATCACGGTTAGTCACCTAAAACATATTTACAATAAAATTCGTTGAAGAAGTAACTTGATATGATACTGTACTTTTAATTAATAATTGTAAATTAGTTTTCATCGCACTTCATTTTTCATGGAATTTTGCTCTGTGGGGGTAAGTCAACAAGCAATACTTAATAATTGGTTTGTAATAGTTACCCAACTGTCTTGTTACTACAGAGTGGTCTAAAGAATCTCTGATTGAAGCATGGATGGAAGATCCTGTTGCAGCTTGTGAGAAAGCTGGAGTTACTCTCCCAGAGAGTGAGTTTTTAACTGTTCACACAGTATTTGTTTTGTTTTGTGTTTTTACCTTCATGTTGTTTTTGTTTTTAAGTTCCAAACTAAAAATTGAGAAAGTCAGTTAGGAAGTCTGAACTGAAAACTCAGATTTGATTTCTTTCACTCATGGTTGAAGAATTTTGACCAAATGTCAATGCTAAATTGTTAAATTTGTTAAATTACTAAGAAAGTTGGAAAACATTTAGATGTTTTGAACAGGCAAAAAACATGCTATCAATTTCCTCAAAAATGTGCCTCTACAACTTGAAAGTAACATCTTACTTCACCTACTGTTCTGTTATTTGGTACAACTGTACTTAGTCTGATAATTTTTTGTGATTTTCTTATACTTTTCTTGGCATATTAGCATGCACTGCCAGGGGCCTAATCAGCCTCATCAACCTGAGTTGAAGTAAAGTTACTTACTAACTTACTTAACCCTTTAACTCCTAAGATCTGATTGTTAATTCTCCCCTCTAGCTGCCTTACCTTTCCTTGTAAACTAGTGATGAGAATTTAGAGTTAGATCAAGACATTCTATTGGACAATTTTGATTATTCTCCTTAACTGTTTTATTGATAATGTATGGATGCTTTAGGGAGAAATTACTTGTTAATCACTTCTGGGAGTTAAAAGGTTAAATGCATCCTAACTTGATGAAATTTCTTGATTTCTTTCATTGCAATATCCTTAAAACTAACAGTTTTCTATATTTTCATCCACTAGATCACACCACAGGCAATGTAGAACTTGAAGAGAAAACTAAACTTGCAGTAAAAAGCAACTATGGAGCATCTGTAAGTATCTGGCTAAAAAAAAACTTTGTCACTCCTAGTGGTAAATGACATGAAAACTTATTGGAAAGCAATTGATTACTATACACTTCATTATTTATATTAATGTTCTCCATACTGTTCCCTCAATATTTCCTTTAGGACTGATAAGCAGAATTTTTTTTTTTTAAATTGGGCAGTTTAGGAATTTCTGAAGATTTTCTTTAGATTTATGACCTTTTTATTTGACAGTTTGAAAGGGGTGGGGAGGGTGTTAATGTAAGGAGAAATGAGAAGCCAATCACTCTCAAGTGTAAGGGTGAAATGGTGTGACAATTACACTAGGTAGCTGGTAGCTGTTGACAAGCCTTCCTGTGGTTTTGGGATATCTTTTAACATCTTGGTCCTCATCTATTTTAATTGCAGGAAGTTTGTTCTATCTGTGAAGATCAAATAGTGTATGAAGATGTTCCTCTGTCTCTTTCTTGTAATCATGAGTTCTGTCGTTCTTGCTGGGAAAGGTAAATTTAAGAGCCTGGTATATTGAGTATTTAACAATTATTTACCTAAGCGGGGATAAATATCCACCACTTACAGTTGCGCTGAGGTTAATAATTGTTTTTAGTGTATACTACACAGAAACCAAAAGATCATTTTATTTCTGTCACTACTCTGAAAATGGTCAGAGGTTAAACTCCTAATGCACAATTTTGTCTCTTTGGCTGGTGTAAGGTGAATAGCACTTGCTAATCACTTCCAAACTGGCCAATCATTGAATGCAAATAGCATTATTTACTTATTATGTGGTATATACTTACTGATGATGTTGTTGTATTGGGTAAGGGGCTAAGCAATTAGTGCCAGACTCTGATGTAACATGTTCTTGGGCAAGACAACTTACTCTTAAAGAGTATATCTCTGATTAGAAGGACAGAGGGACACTAAAGAACTCTCTGAAATCCTGACAGAATGCAAGGTGTTAGCTGCCACAACCAAATGCCCTATCCAGTAAAAGTAGTTATACTCCTTTTGGTTTTGTGGGATCTGGAAATGAGAAAAAACTGACCATGGGCTATGTGGCTTGTAAGACTCTATTGTATGTTGTTACTCGTTAGTTGCAAGGCAAGTGTCTGTCTGGATTCTCAATTATGGAGGCAGCACGGTCAAGTGTTGGGGGTGTTGGACTTGTAATCTGATGGTCCTGGGCCCAAGTCCTCTACCTTGCCATTCGATGGATTTGTTCTCAGTTGCTTCACTGCGCGGTGTAAATAGCCAATAGGTCTGCCTCCAGTCAGTTTGGAATTTTCAAGTGCTTTGTGTTTATTTCAGTCATTGTAAAGCACAATTGGATAGCAATATAAACAGCACTATATAAATAAAGTATTGTTAATATTAATTCATTGTCACTCTCTGATCCATGTTTACTCAGTTATCTGAATGTGAAGATCAAAGAAGGCAAGGCTCATAACATACAGTGTCCTGCATTTGATTGCAGTGCTCTTGTCCCTGTGGTAAGTAAGCTTTAAACACTTAACACCTTGAGACTCTCTGAAAATGAACAAAGAAACATCTTACATGGATGAAGACACTTCCTGAGCAAAAGTTTCTCTAGATTTATTTCCTAGAAGCTCAAAGTTAATGGTAGTTATGAAATTTTCCACTCCAAATATTATGAACAATTCACTCAAACTCCAGTTATTAGCTCACCTTGTGAGGTAATGCATTTTGCTAATGGTTGCAGAGCTCAAAATGCTCCAAGTGTATATAAAAAAACTAAGATTAATAATGATGATATTGTTTAGCATTTAGAATGGCAATGAATTTTATATTCAATATGTAGTACACAGTCACTATAAGTATTATTATTTGTGTCTACTTTAGACACTGCTTCTTCAACAAATGCCTTCTCCATCTTGTTGTTAACTCATCTGGTCTATGTTCAATGTTTTTTTTCTTCCAGGAAACTATTGAAAGTCTTGTATCAAGAGAAATGGCAAGAAGATATCTTCAGTTTGATATAAAGGTAAGGACTTTAGAAACTGGCCAGTCATCTCAAAAGGATCCTAGGCAACCATACCCCTGTTTTTGATTACTGATATAGGAAAGCATGAAAATCCTCTGATGATGAATGACACAAATCAGTTAAAAATGTGAGTCAAAACAAAGCAATGATGAAGTTAAAAGGCAAATGCAATGATGAAAATTAAAATAGAAGATAAGATAGACAGCTGAAGATTTAGAACCACTGGTAATAAAGTCCAAACATTCTGGCTATAAATAAGGTAGAGTCCTGGTAAAGCAGGGGTTTCCATAAAAGGTTGGTATCATTGTTAGTCTTCTTCCTATAAAACCTCTCACTGCTGTCTGTTTAGCCTGCAAGCAGGCTCAAGATTGTGTTAGGGTTTTACCCAACCACCCCTTTTCTGGGAACACCCGATTATGGAAAAAGTTATTTAAACCACTGGGTAAAGGCACTTAGTTCATCAGATTGTATGGTAAGGAAGGTGTCACTTAAACTCATGGTGGATGTTAAGAAAGAGTTGATTGTATGTTACAAAGTTTTCCACTTATGCAAGTGTTTGTAAGGAAAAAGCCTTATCTTCTTACAAATATTTTTCAGGCTTTTGTAGAGAGTAATCCTACTTTGAAATGGTGTCCGTCACCTGGATGTGGCCGAGCAGTGAGGCTGCCATCGAGCATGCTACCCTCACTGAATGTTTCTGTAGAAGCAAGCTCTTTAGGGGAGACAGAGCCAATGACTGTAGATTGCGGCAGTGGTCATTTCTTTTGTTGGTGAGTACACAGTAGCTAGATCATAGTAAGCAGAGGTGATTGGTTCATAATGCCAACAGATTTCTTGGTTATTGGGTTTTATTAGTTGTTTTGGACCTCACAATGCACAACTTTTAAACACGCGGTTTGCATGCGACAGGTTTCACTGTCAGGAGTTATAATTTTTGTCAGCACTGCATACACACTAAAATGATGAAGAGGGTTGTGTGCCAAAGTCTCTAAAATTTCTTTTTTGTCGTAGATTGGGCAAATTTAATGTGAACTGCATTAATTACACTTCAAATGTCAATATTACTGTACATCTGATCCACAGGCATTGTTTAAAGGAAGCTCATCTGCCCTGTACATGTGAACTTTGGAGTAGATGGATGGAAAAAATAGCTGAAATGTTACCAAAGATTCCTACAACAGAAGGTTGTTAAAATTTGATTCAAATTTTACTTGTATGGGTAACAAATTTTATTTTCCTGTACATGGTAGACCCAGTAGCTTATTTTATAGTACGCTATTGGTAAGGTTACGTCCGTACTGAAGCCTATTGGCCCACCCAAGCAGAACTTATCCTGGTTTCCAAGTAGCATGAAGCAACTAGGAGTATTACCACTCCCCCCTGATGGTCAGTGCTCTGAACTCCGGGTTGAGAGGTCCTGGGCCGAGAGGTCTGGCACATTGACCTCGCCGGGTCAATGTGTTGTGCTCTTGGACAAGACACTACTCTCATTGCACTGGCCGTCAGGCCACTGCATCTCATACCTTAGCCTATGGCTGGTTACCACCACCCATCCACCCACACACCCACAACCCCCCCCCCCCCTCGCATTTTGTTAAGTTTACCTGAATCTACCCAAGTGAACAAATACGTACTGGTGAACTGCTGAAGTGTTATATTATATATATTACATTGTATATATTTTATATATTGTGATACCCCACCGACGCAGCACCACAGTTTCTGTAGAAACTTACGTCCCCCTCCTCCGCCTTAATACCAAAAGGATTACCGGTCTTCTAAGTTTTTATTTTCAAAGTCTTGTTGAAGGTTTGAAAATTAAAAGCTCTAAATCTTCCTCTCTTTTGACAGACATTTCTGAGTGTCCTGAAACAGAAGCAGTCGCCAACACTCTTTGGCTCGTGACAAACTCGAAATCCTGCCCCAACTGCAAGTAAGTGGTCGATCTATACAAGACATATATGTGTGCGTTACGTTTTGCATAACTGAGTACCTGGTTTGTGTTACATGCAATCATGCCTGTAATCCATCCCACAACAACACTAAAAGAACGTGTTAATGGTATAAAAACTGTAAGATCTACCAATTATGCCAAGGTCCAACGTCACTACTTGCGTATCTGAAAATATTCAGCCTAAGTTCTTCATTATCAAGCAGTCTTAGAGATCCAGTGTATAGAAATAGGATACGCTTCCTCTCTTACTATGTTGCCTTGGCTCTCTGCCAAAAAATTAAAATTGGAATCAGTAACTTTTTGTTTAGAGGAATTTTCAATTAAGTGTCGAGAGAAATCTGGGATTGTTTTGATTTTGCTATACTTCGCTCAATGATTGGTTCAGAAAACTCGCGCCTCTCTCTTAACCAATCAGATGCAAAACTTTAACCAATCACGACTTGGTCGCCCGCTTTTTCCCGCGCTTTAAGCAGTTTGTTTGTTTTTGCTGTGAGTTCTCATTGGTTCTTAAAGGTATTTTTCTTCTTTTTGATTGGCCGTTGTGATTACTTCGGTCTTGGTTTTACGACACTCACCATAGGTGAAGTGTTAACGCAATAGAACATACAGCTTATTACTGATCTGTTATAATGAATAAACTGACTTAACCCTCAAAGAAACTCTTAAAATCTTTTTTCAATTTACATATTACATATTACGGCAAAATATTAGCGATTGGTAGGATTAGATTTGATGGAAAAGCTTGATCGACCGTCTCACATTCTACACAGTACCACAAAAGCGCGTTGAAATTAAGAATTTGTAACGATTGTCAATGTTTCTCGAATGAATCTAATGGGAGATTTTACTCCTCAGATCACCCATTCAGAAAAATGAGGGATGCAACCACATGAAGTGTACAAAGGTGTTTATAAAGCTTATTTACTTGTTATGAGTTTTAGAAGGAACGGCACGAAAGATACACACTTGTACAGTTGTAAAACTTCTTTGTAATACTTGCGGTTCTCGTTTGTACAATACTTCGTAAAACAAAAAAATATATATATAAAAGAGTGACTTACTACGTGTGAATTTTGTTGAGTGTATTCCTGCACATGAAGAAGTCCCGTAATGAAATTCTACGGACATTTATTATCATTGTCTTTTTAATGTTTCTTTTACAGTGTAAACACGAGTTCTGCTGGGTTTGTCTGGAACAGTGGAAAAAACACAGTTCTGCTACAGGAGGATATTTTAGGTTAGTAGAACTGAGTTGAAAATTGTCATGAATACTTGTCCTTTGTGACTAAAATACTATTAGTAGGGAGAGATTTCATAGAGCTGTACACAAATTTGCTACGCACGCGTTCACAGCCTTTGTTATATTTGGGCTGAGTGGAGTCCAATTCGGTTTGTAATCATACAAATGATAAGAAAATTGGAAGACTGTGAAGCGGGAATATTATTCACGAGTATGATTATAGACAGAGTTGGACGACACGAAGTCCTGTTACCAATAACCAATACAATTTCCAAAAAAAAAATTCATCTAGGACAAATGTCTGCACAGGAGACAATATCTAAAGTTGAAAATTCCTACATTTGGAAATTTACCAGTGTTTCTTAGGATAATTGGTTGTTTCCATGGTTATTGTGATGAATTCTGTGATTGGTGGATTTAGCTGAGTGGACTAAGTACGAGTGGCTGCTTCAATTGTCCAATTACAGGTGTCCAATTACAGGCAACTGTCCTATTACACGGTCCGATTACAACTCTACAAAATAATTAGTGAAAAATAAAGTAGTTAGTGCACCAACCACATGTAAGGAAATTGTAATTGCTATGATTAAACCTCTTTTTTCAGGTGTAATCGATTTGAGATTGTTCAAAAAGTTGAATCAGAGTCAGCCAAGATAGTAACAGAGGTAAGGTGAAGCCTGTTTACGAAACTGACTCGATTAACTGCTTGAATTCCATCAAGTGAAGCGATTGAAAGTGTTTCTGCTCCCCTTGGATGGAATGCCGGTTCGATGCAGTTAACCACCACACCCCCATGTCAGTATTTTGTCCGGCTTCCTTAACGGTTTACCAATACTCATTTCTACTCCTGTGTGAAGAGCAGCTTTTATGAGCGTGAAGTGTCTCACTCAGGAACAATGCACAAAGCATGAAGCACTAGGACCCCCCTCGGAATTGAAAATGTTAGCATCACTGGGTGAAGGTCAAACTACCAGCATGATGTTTTTAAACCTTTGACCCCTAAGAGTGACCAGTATCTATTTTCTCCTTACAGAATTACCCCTGAATGAAACATTATAGTCACGAGAATAAAGGAAATGATCACCAACTTAAGAAGCTCTTGATTGTTATACAAATTCTCCTTGTTAGCGTCTTATGGAAATATATAGAGAACAGTATGGAGAATATGCATTCTGATGTTAGGGTGTAAAGGGTTAAATGAAACTCAGTGCTATTAATAGCTCTGACTGATTGAAAGTTGAAAAGGACTCTTCTAATGAGGGGAAAGTCGTTTTCAAGTGTACTTTATGAAGTTTTATGTTCGTTTTTAATGCTCGATATTTTTTTTCCGAATTTTTTTTTACCAGATTAACACAAAGAATGATGAAATCACGCAGTTAAATTGTTTTCTACATTATTACTCACGCTTTAAGAACCATGAAAATAGTTACAAGGTAAGAACATAAGATTTTTAAAGAGAAAGTAGGAAGTTATCTTAACAGATGATTGGAACGTTCGGTATTGTGGGCAGTAGAAGGGGGAAATGTGTTTTTCTTGCGATTACTTACAAAAGGAGAAACACACAGCGCAAATTGTCTTTGCTGATGTGGAATAATGATCCATAAATTAAAGTTAGATCAAAATTATTTTTTTATCTTTAATAGTTTGAAGAACCTTTATTAAGTACAGCTAAGGATAAAATGTCTGCACTGGCTGTTGCTGCCATGGAAACAGGTAAGTTCTCCCTTTTACTATCAGCTATACGACCGATATCACTAAAACGGATTTTTTCCTTTATATCTGAGTGTGAGTCTATACTGTGTACTGAACAATTGTTTCTGTGTTCAGCTGCAACTTCAGTGGAAAATGCTGACACATCATTCATCGAAGACGCCGTTCACGGACTACTTAATTCAAGAAGAGTTCTCCGAGCCTCATATGCTTATGGCTTCTTTCTCACTGGTAACAAAGACAAGAGAGTAATCTTTGAATCAATGCAGGCGAGTGTTAAAGCAATTTTTAACTGCGTGTCTAAAGTAATCCGGGGTTAACATTGCTCTCTGATTGGTTCTGAAAACTCGCGCTACTCTATCAACCAATCAAATGCAAATTTAAAACCAATTGTCACTTGTTCACCCGCGTTTTCCCGCGTTTCAGTAGTTTGTTTGTTCAGTTTATTTTCCATAGCCGTTATTGCCCATTTTTTTTACTTTGATGTAGGTTTTATCAAACTAAATTAAAAATCGCTCTTAACACGAACAGTTGACCATCTGTGTTTTCTCTCCAGACCGAAGTTGAAGAAGCAATAGAGACACTATCACAGATGGTAGCCCGACCTTACTTGAGGACACCGCGGGCTCAGATCATCCAAACCACACAGCTGTTACACCGGAAGCGAGATGACTTCCTGTTAGCTCTGTCACGTGGTCTTATACCGGATGACGACGAACTTCCGGAACCTAACAGCCTCATGCCAAGGTAAGTGTTGTTAGTAATGTTATTTCAAAGTTCTGTTTCGAAACTTTTGCTTCTAAGGATTCCCTTTCTAAATAGCTTTCTCGTTTTATAGCAGGTTCCTCTCTTCATCCAGAGGAAGTCAAGATAGCGAGGTAACATTGAAATTCTATAAGTGACCGTTTACTGTTATCATGTATCAGTAGCTCGCGATATACAGTTAAATATCTTCCTATGCATTGAAAGACCGGTTGGTTCCTCTTTAACGGCATTCTATCTCAGATGCAACTGTTGTGGAGCCAGCCTGGTTGGGATTTTTGTGTTTTAATCCTTTAACCCTTAAGAGTGACTAGCATCTAATTTCTCCATACGATATCACTACTGAATCACAAATTGATGCCGTGAGAATAAAGGAAATGATCACCAACTAAAAAATCTCTTGATTGTTCGACAAATTCTCCTTGTCAGCACCTTAGTAAATGTACAGAGAACTGTATGGAGAATATGGTTACTGATGTTAGGGTGTAAAGGGTTAAAAGCTCTCATGCAAGACAAGCAACACTCTCAGTGTCTCCAAGTAGTAGCATTGAATCGTCAGTTATCATATGTTGTAGCCTGGTATTTTTTGTCTGTATCTGAGCAGAACCACAGCAGCCCGAAGCTGCCAAGTTCCCAATTCCTTAACAGAGCGAATATTCATACTACAATCGAAAAATTAATTTTTTGTGTTTTGTAGTCTGACGAAGATGAAGACAATTATGACGAAGTTCGCAGCGCAATTGAACACTCCATCATCAAGGAACGTTTGAATCGGCTGGCAGCGTTTGGATCTACTGATTCATGCCCACTTAGTGAAGATGTCTTTGAAGAACAAGCCGCTGCCAAGGAAAAAGTAACCTGTGAGGCGATTCACAAGAGATTTAACCTTTCCTCTTGTTACTTGTGCAAATATGGAAAAACGAAAGAAAAAGGGGCGGGAAGGAGAAGAAGTATGTAACAAAGTGGTCTTATTCATGCATCATAGCTCTGAACGACAAAGTTCTTGATAGCGAAACCCTTCTTGTGGACGTATAGAGAAGTGAAAGAAAAATGGCTGGAAGGAAAGATATCTATGTAGCGAAATGGTTCTTGTTCATGTTTCATAGCTCGGGACAATTAACGATAAATTTAGCACTACTTGTGCTAGCCTGCGTAAAGGCCTGGTTATTAGCGCTGAAAGACGTGCGTTTCTCCGCCCCGGGAACTTTAGAGACGAGTCGGGTAAAGGTTTATCGGGAGTCTGGCACTAAAAGTCAGTGCCAGACCCCTTGCAGACCTCTTCTCAAGGCCTCATACTTTCCTGCGGCGAAAAGACACTCGTGCTCAAGCTATAATGATCAGGGCCCGCTCACAGGCTATGAAGGTGCAAAAGATGGAAAACGCAAAAGAAAAGGGGGCGGATAACCAAGGTCATTTGTTACAAGTCTGTACGATAAAGCCCTTAACACTGAAAGTTATGTCTAAAAAAAAATTTTTAAAGCAAAAATAACAACAAAATAATGGTGGAATCTTTTTGTTAAGGGCGCCAGCGACGAAGCAAACCAGCGGAGACTGAAGACGAAATAGATGTTGATGTGATGCGAGCGATACATTTGTCACTGATGCAACGTAGTACACAAACCAATCAGAGAAGCCGACAATCAAGCTCATCCAGCAGTTCGACCAGCTCTTACAGAGACCAAGCACATGGGGTGCAGGCGCCCCAGGACATGTCTTACCTCTCTGCCGTGGATGGGGCTTCTCTTCAGAAAGCTATAGAGCTGTCACTTCGAGATTCTGCTGTTGGAGGAGGTAATATTCGGTTGTTTTTATTAGTAAAGCTTAAAACACAAGGGTGTCATTTTTTAAGTAAAAAGTGAACCGGGTATCACGTGAAAGTACTCCTTACAATACAATACAATACAATTTATTTTATGTCGGTAACGTAGGGGGTGGTTACCCAATCCCCCGAGCCTAATGGCTCATGTTGAAAACGCTCAACAGTTAAAATACAGATGTGTATATAAATATATGTACCAGTTAAATATATGTATATATGACGAAAAAAAGAAACGCAAAAATATCACTTAGCCCCCTACCCCTACCCCTAGTCCTAATCCTGAACCTCCCCTGAAACCCTACCAGCCCTAATCACCTAACTTGTAGCCCTAACCCTGAAGCCTAATTACCAATTCATAACCCTACCCCTACAATTGTATACTAATACATTTATTACACTAACCTTGAAAGCAAGGGTTTTGTCCATGAACTTACACACCCTGTACAGCAAAATAAACAGTACCATTTGAAAGTACTGCTCATTAGCTTTTATATGAACGGTCACATGCCAGGGTTTTAACCACAGACTGAAAATTTAGAACCACTTTGTACAGCGTGGTTAACAGAACTTCTTGGAAGTGCTGCTCCGTAGCCATCACTTTAATGGCCATAGACTAACAAATCAGAACCACATTATACAGCACCACGAACAGTACCACTGAAAATACTGCCCCGTAGCTTTCACTTTTGATGGTCGCATACCGATGTTTCATCCACAGACCAGCAGTGAGAACCACTTTGTACAGCACAATGAATAGTGCTGCATGAAAGTACTACTCAGTAGCTTCCCTCTGAATGGTCAAACACAAGGGTTTATCAACCAACTTAAAAGTTAGAACCTGACCATCTTTTACATCATAATAAACGATATTCAATGATTATTACACATATGCATGTTTAACAGCAAATACTGCACAAACAGCCAAACAATTGTTTTTTTTAAAGACACACATAACTTTTCTGTAGATTTGCTTTTGCTGAAAAGTGATAGACATGTGTTTTATATTTTCAGAACTGTCCTCTTCTCCCGATGATGACCTTAAACAAGCCATCAAACTATCTCTGCAGGACAGTGGTCTTCCCCAGGAGGGAACTGATGGCATTGGATGCGCAGACAGTTCACCACAACACCCACAAACGAAAGAACAAGACGACGCTGACAGTGATATTGAATTCGATATTTGTCTTTAAATTGTAATAGCTCAATTAAAATTTTAAATTGTAAACATTTTTATACGGCATAATTCCAAGTGTGTGTGTGTGTGTCATAGACAAACTAAAAAATTAGAATCACCCTGGACAGCTTCATAAATTGTGGTACATGAATGTACTGCTCAGAAGCTTTCATTCGAATGGTCATTCATTAGGTTCTGAACCACAAACTCGAATGTTAAAACCAACGTTTGCAATGTAGTGAACGGTACCCAAAGTGGTACTCAAGAGGCTCACAAAGTAAATTCAGCGGTCAAACATCTGCGCATGTGCGAACGTTTTAATACCTAGGAGGCGTGTTTTCAGGCTGTCGATTTTTTTCTCAAGTTTTGGGCGGGAAATTGGCGCGAGGCTGTCAATAATTGTTCCCCATGCACATGTCCGACGTTTGACCACTGTGTTCACATCGTAGGGTTTTCATTATCAGTAGTCTTGAAAGCTAGAAAAAACCTCTTAAAGCGTAATAAACATTGCCACGTAAAAAAAGCGACCTTAAAGCTCTCGTTTGAATGGTCATACACTATGGTTTCATTCACAGGATTCAGTAGTTAGAACCGCTTGGTATTTTTCAATTGATGGTCAAATTCACTCGGTAATAATCCCTAGACTCGAAGTCAAGATTACCGTGTACAGTATAGGAAACAATAACACGTTAGGGTATTGTTAACTAGCTAAATTATGTAAAAATGGTAAGTTCTTAATGTTATTTTGTGCAGGGGTAGTTTTATGCTTCATTTTAATTTAAGCGTGCTATACCAGTGCACATTAATAAAAGTGGTATTCGTAGGATATAGTTGCAGTTTTCTATGTATTTTTATGTAAGAATGAGTGATGAAGACAGTAGCTGAGGTTTTAATTTAATACATGCATTTTAATGGTGCAAATCGTAACATTTTATTCCATCAGTAATGTATTTTGCACAATGCATACAATGATGCAAACTGTTAACCTTTTGGCGTTGAAGGGTGACCAGCATCTAATTTCTCCTTACAATATCACCCCTGAATCAAACATTAAGGTCACGAGAATAGTGGAAACGATCACTAATCAAATAAGCTCCTGATTGTTAGCCAAATTCTCCTCTTCAGGATCGGTGGAAATGTCTAGAGAGCAGTGTAGAGAATATGAATGCTTATGTTAGGGTGTGAAGAGTTAAAATGACAATTTAGTCATCAGTTTAGATAGTTTGTAGAAATACTCGTTATTTAGAAGCTTACTTGTAAAATAAAATATAAATAAGTTGTTATTAGTTTGTTTGTGTTGATTGTTTATGTAAGGCGGATCACATAAGCTTTCCCTTTAAAGGGCAAACGTTAGGCCTTAATACTGTGGCATTTGCTAGGTGAAATACCGTTGTGCTGGAAATTTTTGACAAACTACTGTCATATTGAAGACATGAAAATCTGAAATGTCAAGGGTTTTCCTTTGGAATAGCGGTCTACATTTCACACATCGCTAGTTAGCCAGTTTGGTTCCCTGAAATCATATACTCTTGCCAATACTAAAAAGATTGTGGTACCTTTCTATTACTTGTTATTTACGTTTGAAAGCACTCCAGATTACTTTATTAAACTTCTATTTCCGTTTAGATTTCGAGTGAAAGAGAAAGGCATCGTTAGTTAACATCGTCATCGTTCGCGTCATTAATGCTCCAAGAGTACTTTGCACGTCATGCTTGCCTACTTCATTTCCATTGCGTGACCCTGCAAGATATGAACATGTTTTTGTTCGAGGTCGCTATGTGAGCTTGGACCATAATTTGATGATTAAAAACGGGAAACTTATCCTGAAACGGCTATTGAACAGAAAAATATAGAAACCTTGATTAAAATTTAATCCTGGGTTAACACTAACTGGCCTTAAAACAACTGGGCCTGGGTTTTAATCCTCATGGGTTGTAGGAGATTCAACATCATCACTCATTATGCCAGTTGGTGCATAAGGCCATCACATTGTCTGCCCAACCTCCCTGTCACATGCCACCATCTTGGCCACATTCCAGCTCTTCCACCCTGCTTTGCCTCTGTCTCTTTTGACAGTCCTTCCCCAAGTGGTCTTTGGTCTCCCTCCTACCCCTCCATCTTCTGGTGTCCACCCTAATACCATAAAACAGTTGTTCACACCCTCTCTCCTGAGTTCATGTCCTAACCAGTTCCACTTTCTTCTTTGCATCTTGAAGCATTGATCTCTACCATTTCTGCCATTGCAAGAGTTTCCCACTAAACACATAAATAGGTGCATTAATACACTACTCTCATCACATAAAGTGGAAAACCTATTTTTAATTTGCTCATATTACAGTCTAGGACTGAATATCAACTTGAATGTTTTCTGTTTAGTTTTGTTGTTTTTTTTCTGTCATTGTTGTTTTTTCCTTTCTTGTTTTCTTTTGTATCTTGTCTTTAATTCCTCCAATTAAACTAAGAAAACCATGAACACAGGAAACTAATTTCAGGAATGTGCTTGGGTTGAAAAGAAGCAGCAAATAAATTATGATCATAACAATTAATAATAATATAATAATTTTATACACTCCAAGTGATGATCAGTTTTAGATTAGTCAAATGTTCACAGAAGTCCAGATTTGACAGTAATATTTTATTTTCAAAATTGTTTACTAGAGATGAACTACTATCATAATTAGAATGGATGGAGAACAAAAACAAAGAGGATTACTAACATCCTCTAGAAATCTACCCCATACAAAATAATGATCTGCCTCCCATTGTTTTAAGGGTGGATAACGCTATCCACTAGATTAAATCTCTTTCCATTGGATTGCACAGTATATTCTGTTAGCACTTATCCACTGGATGGAGATTTATTTGGAGGGTGGGTATCCCCCTTTGGAATAACTGAGCCTAGAATTCAGGAGTGATTGTAGCAACTGGGGCTTACAAGACATTCAACATTCCACAAAAAGTGAACTACAAGTAAATTTGGTTGTAAGTTTTGTCTTCAGCCAAGTAATTGCAACAAAATTTAGTCTAACATACCAAAAAAGTTTCTTCATTATTCCTTCTTTTTCCATATTAAACAATTCTTCACCAATGGGGTACGATTGTCTGGTCAAATAATCCTTAGGACGAATTTGGAGGGATTCTATTCACTGGGCCTGAGGACAGTATGACAATACAATCACCCAAGTTACTATTAGAGAAAAACTTTTGTCCATGATTTCATCTGTCTCCTTCATAGAAATATTGAGAAATCATACATCACCCAGTTTGAAAATTAGTGCTTCTGAATCCTGGTCACCAATGTTGTAAAGGGTAATTTAACCCTTTCACTCCCACAAGTGACCAAGACAGAATTTCTCCTTACAATATCAATACAATATCAAGCAGGTAGGTGATGAGAATAGAGAAGAATATCAATTATGGGATTATTAGTTGATCCAATACCAAATTCTCTGAACTAACATCATAAGAATTATATGGCAGATAGTAAGGAGAATTACTAATTAGACCTTGGGAGTAAAAGGGTTAAAGAAGATATGAACCCAGTCTTTAACCAATAAGAATGTAAAAACCTTAAGCAAGACAAGACCATAATAGATCCGAGACAAATTTTTATCCACGACCCTCACTGTATTTCCGTTTTTGTTTGTTGGTGGTAGGCAACAGAAACCTTCTAACTTTCAGACCATTTTGTGCTGGCTACTTTGTGAATTGCAGATATATAGTTAGTTTTTTCAGCTCTAAACCAAACAAGATATATTATTCTAGCTGTTTTGATCTGAAATGGTTTGGATCAAGATGATCAAGCATAAAACCCAACCAAAAACTCAGAGGATCATCTTTTCTTAACTCTTTACACCCTAACATCAGTATGCATATTCTCCATACTGTTCTTTATACATTTCCTAAGGTGCTGAAAAGGAGAATTTGTTTACCGATCAAAAGCTTCTTTCATTGGTGACCATTTCCTTTATTCTCATGACCTCAATGTGCAATGCAGGGCTGATATTGTGGGGAGAAATTAGATGCTGATCACTCTAAGGGTTTATATTTTTAGCCAATTGTCAATAATCTGTGATTAGAATTTCCAAATAAAGATTTCAATGCGAGAAATATCCAAATATTAGGATCTACTCCTAGAAAATATAATACAAGTTGAATTATTTGCAATTAAAATAATTTCTATTTATAATCTTTATAATAATTATGATCATCTAAATTGTTGCTTTATGTTGAAATCAATTGCCAACTTTGATACAAAAAAAAAAAACCAGACATTTCAGTAATTCCCCAGAATTTTGTGATAAGTGTCCACATTCTCAAAAAAGAACACAACAGTTTCTTTCTCCTGCTTGTGAGGCTTCATTTACTTCAACCACCTTTCCTTTTCCTTCTGAAGTTCCAGAGTTCTGTCCTGGCATGTCAAGTTCTTTTCTTATTTTTGCCAATTGCACTTCATGAACTTTTGTAATTGTTTGTGTAAAGGCTTCTTCGACATTTGTAGCATCCAAAGCTGATGCCTCAATGAATGACAATCCTGCGTCATTGGCATATTTTTTGGCATCTTCTGCAAGAACTGCTCGCAGGTGTTTCAAATCACATTTGTTTCCAACAAGCATGGTGACAATGGAGGACTCTGCATGTTCACGTACTTCCAAAAGCCAGCGTGCCACATTCTCAAAAGTTTTCTGTTTTGATAAATCATAGACCAATACAGCACCAACAGCTCCGCGGTAATAGGCACTTGTAATCGCACGGTAACGTTCCTGGCCAGCTGTATCCCAAACCTTACATGGCAAAATAGAATATTAAACAACAAGAAGTCAAACAGAGAAAGACATTTTTTATCTTGCCACAAGTACGGAACAAAGAACAAATTCTAATTCCCCATAAGGAATTGAACTCCAGACCTTTGGATTCCATGCTCCGATGCTTTATCACTGAGCCAGAGACTCTATAGTGAGCAAGGCCCATTAAGAAGTTCATGCAAGACAAGCGTCCTGCATACTGTTAGGATCGAACATTCTGAAATTCCTGATACCTAATTTCTTGGTTTTTTATTCTCCAATAAATCCCTCCAGTACACTTCCCCATCACTTTTTCACAGTCATGTTTTTTCGAGGTGTTTCCAAGAACAAAGGAAGTGTTTCCTTATATATCAGTCACAACTCAAAATTTAACCCTTTCACCTCAAAAGGAGACCAAAAATAGAATTCCTCTGAACAATTTAAAATGTATTTTTAACACAGAGGAAGGAACATATATTGACTATGAAATTTTATATGATTTACCACCAAATAAATCTCAGTGATAAAGTAATAATTATAAATATGCAAGGTCAAAGGAAGACTGTCACAGTAATAAATACTGAGGAAAAAAATAATAAATAAAAAGTGTTCTTCACCCTTTAACTCCCAAGATGGGATTGTCAATTCTTCCCTCTAGCTTCTTACATTTTCTTGTAAATTAGTTATGAGAATTTGGTGTTAGATCAAGATAAAGGGCTTACACGTGTCAGAAACATTGTGCCCCTACCAAAAACAATATGCACTAAAAATGTTTACCAGATGAGGGTAAATTTTACCTGAATTGACCAATCAGAGCACTTTCCTTACATTTCCTGCTGGATAAAGTTTACCCGACTGGAGTAAATTTTTTACCGCATGCAATTCCCTAAATAGAACACTTAGAAATAGTTTTCTAGTAGACTTCTCCTGTAGAAGTACGAAAAATATTATTCCATAGGAAGTGACCAAAAACCGGTGGAATGAATCTTCAAATACTCGTTCTGAAGGGACTAAGCTTCAGGTCCTGCAAAGATTTACTTCTAGTGGCACGATCATGGTTCCCAGAAACAGAAGACAGTGCAAAAGAAGATGATTTTTTCATTGTTGTTTAAGGTGCAATTCCTCTTCTCTTCTCTTAAACTTATGTCATTTTGTATCATTTTTGTCTTCCTGCATGTAATTTTTAACTTAAAGGACATCTTAACCCCTTAACTCCCATGAGTGACCAAGACAGAGTTTCTCCTTACAATATCAATAAAATATTAAGCAGACAAGTGATGAGAATAAAGGAAGATATTCATTAGGGCATTGTTAATTGATTCAATACCAAATTCTCCCAACTAATATCACAAGAACTGTATGACAGACAGTAAGGAGAATTACTAATGAGATCTTGGGAGTTAAAGGATTAATAGCTTGCCATGTTATTCCCTTCTCCATTTTATTTCTCTTCTTGGTAATTATTCAAAAGGTTGTTGAAATCGAGGAAATAAAAAATACAAATACAAATAAATAAGTAACGTATGGTAGATAGTATTGTAAATAATTTTTTGGACCTTGCGAATGAAAGGGTTAATGATTATTTCCCCTTGTTTATCCTACTGAAAGGATGTTGTACTGTAGTGATTTTGCTTTAGCACCCAGGGTGCTTATTTTCTCATAGTACCTTTGGGGGGGTGAGGAGTGCTTGTTCAAAACAGAGTGCTTATTTCTTTCATGAGAAACAGCAGAATGTGGTAAACAAAGCTTTAATGCTTACTTGAAAAGGAATGATATCAAAAATTGTAGAAGTAAAAAATGTACAGTGAACATTCACATAATAATGGTAGGGAGAGTACTCTAGCTGTTCTATCTCTGAACCAGAATAGGGAAGCTTATCGGAATTAGGGTGCTTACATCCTCTAAACAAACAACAATTTCGAAAGGGGGCGCTTACTAGAGAGGGGGTGCTTTTTAGAAGGAGGATGCTAAATTGAACCCTTTTGTAAGGTTCATTTAGCACCATGTTGCATAAGGTTATCTTGCAAGGATATCATAATTAACATTTAACATAACAAGATTGCATCATTTCACCATACCTCTCTGTATTATATCAGAGATAATGTCTCTTGGCAAGAAAACAGATGATTTCAGCCAGGAAAAAAACATAAAAATATTCCTGACAAAATTCATGGCGAACTTTGGTCAAATCACGCTCTTAAGACAAGCCCCACAAAGCAAATGGCATGTGAAGATTATGGAAAGACATCAAATCTTTTCCGTTTTTTAAGCGTTTCTATGACTAACTTTTGCATTTTCAAAATTCCCCGTTGTTCTAAATCAAGACATCGTTTACTCGAAGAATACAAGCCTCTGATCGATATGGACACTCGACATGATCAATCATTCATGCAGCGATTGTACTTTAAACTAAAAGGGATCATGCCAAAATGTATTGTTAATGAACAAAGGATTAACAATATGTTAATATTTCAGTTTAAACTTTAACGACTTAACTCCTTGTTAATCTAGCAACCTCGCATGGTGGAATTTTATTTATTCCTGAATTATCAAATTAAGCTTATTTCCGCTTTTATGCCCTACTAGCGCGAAGAAAAATTTAGACAAAATAATCGAATGTAATATTTTTAAACAGCTTGATACTCACCTACATTTCAACACAAAACATGCAGAGCATTTAACACTCCTCTTCACTCAAACGCAAGAAGGGATTTTTTTCATCTGAAAATAGAGCCAAGTACGACATACCTGTGCTTTGATCACTTTGCCATCTACTTGAATACTTCGTGTGGCAAATTCAACACCGATGGTTGATTTCGACTCAAGGTCGAATTCGTTTCGCGTGAAACGAGATAGAAGGGAAGATTTTCCAACGCCAGAATCGCCAATCAAGACAATCTTGTAGAGATAGTCATAATGATCGTATCTTCCGCCGGCCATGCCTTTAGTACAAAAACCCGAGAGGGCCGCAAAATTAGGAGATCAAACTCACTGGGCGAGCATCCACCTCTATAGCTATGCAGGGTATGTACCACGTGACTATCCGCGGGAATGCTAGTGAGGGTCGTCACGCAACGATTCTTCTTAGCGTTGCGTGACGAGTTGTCTAGCTGGACTAAAATGTACTCTGCTCAGATGTTCAGGCATTTCGCCCCAGATCTCTGGTTTATTCAAAATTAAATTAGTGCTTATTTATTTATCCTTATTTTTCGACAGTTCAAGTTACGATTTTTGAACAGTTAGCATATCCATATACCAAATAAAGGTCCAATCGTTGTCCGCGAGAGACCATAGGGTACTGGACATGACAACATAGTAGCCCGGCCTCCAATGGTGGACATTCGAGAAGCCCTTATCCAGGTAAATTTTTCTAAATTATTATTTGTATTTAAACCTGGTAAGTTCCGAAAATTTTTGAACATTATAAATCGAGGGGTTTTCAAACTTTTATATGGTTCTTTTGAGCTTAAATTTATCACTCTATTGAGTCTCGCAAGGAGTCTGAAAAATTAAACAGCCGAAATCTGCAAACTTAACGGTCGTAGGAAGAGGTCTAGAGAATTTTTCTGAACATCCTTCAGTAATTACTTAATTGGCGGGTGAGATGTTCGCCAGAAAGTCGAGTTTTATTTCCTGCTCTTTTCAAAATTTTTGATAGATTTTAATGACTCCTTTCGTTCTCACAGTACAACTCGCTTGAAGTAAAATTTCTAATGGCGGTTTCAATTAACTTTAACTAGACCCTGTGAGCAGGGTAACTGGGATAACTGGATGGCAATGGATCCTTGGAATCAAGTGTAGTATTTGTCCGCTGTTTTTTAAAATAGCATCATAATGATTGATTTTTCTGTAATTTTTAGCCATCCCTTTTGCAGCAGTAAACTTAACGAAAGGTTGGTTGCACAGCAACCATGGATTCTCAAGATCCACTAAGGATCTCAGCTGACAATGAAACACACAAGAAACAGAGGAAAAGAACCAAGAAAATTATTGGGCAACTTCAAGAACAGGTTGGAAATACTTGTTTCACAGAACAATAGCAAGCGATTAGAGACGAAGCCCTTTCACTCCCAAGAGGGATGCAAAAGGAATTTCTTTTTTCAACATCTATACATTTTCAAGTAAAGTGACCAGGACAGAGAAAAAATTAGTGTTGATTTGACACCAAATTCCCAGAACTGAATCTAAATGATTTGTGTGGTGATCAGTAAGGAGAATTGAAGGGTTAATCATGCTTGTAGAGCTCCTTTGTCTCACGCATGAGTCTCACAGATACAAATTCATCTTATACTCTCACACTCAAGTTATTATTTCTCATGCACTTTATGCGTCTTATTTTAAATTTTGTTTTTTAGTATGCAAACTGTACCTATAAAATTATTTATCCTTTTAAGTATAATTTGATTACTTCTTGTTCCCTTTGAACCCAAACACTTTCCAACTGCACAAATTTTCATGCACTCATACCCATATATCTCCCCATAAAGGTGATGCCAGGGGCATCACAGTCAAGGCTATGCAGTCAAAAGTCTCACTCTTTGCCAGCAAATTAAGTTGAGAGCTCTGTGCTTGGAAGTGACAAATACTATCAGAATGCACTCTTTTGACCCGAAAAAAAAGCCAGTGTATTAAATAAAAATAATCTGATTTCCAAGTGAATACCCACCCCTGGGTAATTTTCTTGTTATGAGAAACAGAGCATTTCTTTTGTTTTAACCCTTTACACCCTAACATCAGAATACATATTCTCCATACTGTTCTCTATACATTTCCTTAGGTGCTGATGAGGAGAATTTGTTTAACAATCAAGAACTCCTGTAGTTGATGATCATTTTCTCTATTCTTGTGACCTAAATGGTTTGATTCAGGGGGATAATGTAAGGAGAAATTGGATGCTGGTCACTCTTTAGGGTCAAGGTTAAACACTATCATTATAAGAATCACAAAGAAAACATCTATTTGATATATTTTTTTTTCAAAAGCCAAACTCAAGCTTGTTTAAGAGAATTAAAATAAATTATTTTTAAATTAAGTTATAGTTCACCTACAAAAAACTACACAAAATCATCAGAGTCCAAGAAAACTGTCTTCAAAATGTGCTTAAGCTGGTTATGTGCAATGCTCTTTAAGTGAAACATTTGTTTGCTTATAAACAGATTGAGTTTTACTTTGGAGATTCTAACCTCCAAAAGGACCGTTTTATGAAACAGGAGATAAACAAACACCCAGAAGGATGTGAGTATTTTGTTTTAAGTTTAAATTAAAAGAGTCATGCTTTCTTATAATCACAGATAACATCTAATCTCCATCCTTTTGGTTTTCTCCAAAGTTGTTGAGGTTTATTGTAGGAAATGTCAATGTTGTTGTTTGGCACCCTAAAGCATTGTTATAATAAAGTGGGGTAAATAGAGAAAAATGTGTTTTGTCTTGTCACGAGCATGGGACAAATAAAAACTTCTGAGTCTCCATGAGGAATTGGACCTCAGGCCTTCACATTCTGCACTCTGATGCTCTACCACTGAGCCACAGAGACTCTACGGTGGTTGAGGCTTATTACCCTTCTCTAAGAACCTCTCATGATTGTTTTCTTTCAGATGTCAATATCTCAACCATTGCCAGTTTCAACAGAATGAAACAGATTACAAATGATTTAAACCTTGTGGTTAAAGCAATGAAAACATCTTCAATGCTTGAGGTTGGTTTTACAAACTGTTTTAAAAAAATATTGCAGGCTTGCACTGTTGAAAGTATTTTTCAATGTGATTTGTGGCAGATACAAAATGAATTGAGGTCAAACCAAAGGAAAATACCTCTTGAAAGGGCTCTTGATATCATTGGAAAAAATTCTTGCTGAAATTGAGGTTTTTTTCTGTTATTTATTTTTAATGGATTTTAGGTCAGTGGTGATGACTCAATGGTCAGGCGAAAGACTCCTGTTCCTGAACCACGGAATGTAGATAAAGAGACTATTTATGTTGTAAGTATTTTAACACTGGCAAAAAAACAAGATCACTAATGCCATTATTTTTTCAACTGGTACAAGAAAGGTGCAATTTTACATAATGTGCTCAAACATGACTCAACAAAATTACAAGTTGCAATCAAATTTAAGTCAATGAAACAATCCTTACCTAATGATTTGGAACCACAGGATCTTGATTTTAAAATCTTGAAATATATACTGCTTACTACCTGAGTTTGAGGTCTGTACTAAAAGTTACAGCCGAAGGTTTTTCTGGTCAGATTTAACCCTTTAATTCCCAGAAGTGATAAAACTGTAACTTCACCCTATCATATCCATACATTATCCAGCAAACAGGTAATGAGGATACTCAAACATATCAGGTAGAAGTTGTTGTCTTTCAAGATCTAACACCAAATTCTCAAAACTAATTTAAAAAGAAATGGATACCATCTAGGGGGGGAGAATTAACACTGGGATCTTGGTAGTGAAAGGGTTAAGGCCTGAGTGGGACACGAGTGGGCCATATATTCAATTATAAAAAAATAAAAGGTTCAGGCTGGAATAAATGAGGTTATTAAGATATTTATTATATCTTTGGGTTCAATCAGAGGGGGAGGATTTCCATTCAAACATATTTTTTTAATTTAGCAGGCTGTACGGTGAAATACGGCCTGCTCAATTGACCAATCATTACACATGTACTGACTAGGAAATACAATAAGACTGTAAACTCAGAATGAGCTAAGAAAAAAATGCTTTTTTTTAATTTGTAAACCAGGCAAATTAACATATGATTCTAGGCAAAAGCTGTTTAGAAAATGAAGGTCTGTCCTAGGCATCATTAATTCTCCTGCTACACTAGGAGATGACAGGAAGGGCTGTTTTTCTGTGACTTTGTTGGCATGATCTTGTGGAAAAGGTTCCTGGGAACTCCACCTTTTATTATAATTCTTTACACCCTAACATCAGTAAGGATATTCTCCATACTGTTCTCTATACATTTTCAATGTTATTGACAAGGAGAATTTGTTTAACAATCAAGAGCTTCTTTAGTTGGTGATCATTTTATTTATTCTCATGACCTAAAATATTTTATTCTGGGGGTGATATTGTCAGGAGAAATTAGATCTTAGTCACTTTTAAGGGTAAAGGGTTATTGCCCATGAGTGATTTATGGTTTGTAAGAAATGATTTTATTAATAGCTTGAGAAAGATGGTTACATTTTGAGCTTGTTGATGGAGAAGAGAAAGATGTCTTTTTGTCCTGTTATGAGTGTGAGACAATGGAAAAAGTCTCAGTCCTCATGAGGATTCAAACCAAAGACCTTGGGATCATCAGAGTGCAGAATCTGAAGATCTAAGGTTCGATTCCTTAAGGTGACTTAGATTTTTTTCTCTGTTCCAAGCTCATGAGAAGACAAAGAAACATCTTTTTCCAGTTAAAATGCTCTTTATCATTATCTTAATGTAGGAAAGACTTCCTCCATATGCTGATCATGACTGGGTTAAAGAAATTTTCAGCAAGTATGGAAAAGTAGTTTACATTAGGTAGGTGCTGAGATCTTATTAGAAATTCTCATTACTGTCAGCCATACAATTCTTATGATGCTAGTGGGGAGAATTTGACCTCTGATCAACTTATGATCCTTAATTGGTATTTTTCTTTATTGTCTTTTGTTGCTTAATGTTGTACTGGTTTTGTAAGGGGAAATTCTGTCTTGGTCAGGATTAACGACAGTTGAGTTGGCCAAACTTTTTTAAAAGCCTGGCTTGCAGTCTGGATTGCTTATCAGGTAGAAATTGTTATCTTGATCTCTAACCAAATTCTTTTAACTAATTTGCAAGGAAATGTGTAGCAGCTAGAGGAGAAAATTAACTATCACGTCAGGAGTCATGATAATTTTGCTATTCGATCAACAATTTCCCCTTACCGTAATTGATATTTTTCTTTATTCTTGTCAGTTGTCTGCGTGATATTGTATTAATATTCTGAGTAGAAATTCTGTCTCAGTCACTAATGGAGGGTAATGTGTTAATTTTTTTTTTCTGTCAATG